GAATTTAGAGAATTGGGCTGGGGATGTGGCTCAAGCGGTAATGTGCTCACCTGGCATGCGCGGGGCGCTGGGTTCGATCCTCAGCACCACATAAAAATAAAATAAAGATGTTGTGTCTACCGAAAAACTGAAAAATAAATATTTAAAAAATTCTCTCTCTCTCTCTCTCTCTCTCACCCCCTCTCTTAAAAAAAAAAAAAAGAATTTGGAGAATTGAGTTGTTTTAGAAAATAAAGTATGAAGAATTTATCCTGAGAAGTAGAGAAAAATGCTCCAGGAAAATAGTAAAGCTGAGTTAGAGACAAGAAATGGGAAGATAAAATTAGCTGCATTTACTGTTAGGAAGCTTAGTACCCAAGTAGGTGACTAAATAAAAGATTATGTTAACAGCAAAAGTCAAAGGATTTACAATAATAAAATCACAAACCATTTTAAATTTCTGGTTTTACTGGATATAATATGGGCTATGAGATTGATTTCAGCTGATCTAATTGATCTGTTTTTAAAAAGTGCCTGATCAAAGCTTGAACTGTACTGATTAATGGTGTTTCTTTGTAACTGTGGGTTTGTGCCTGCTTGCCAGTTATGTTTTTTGGCAATAGTAAGAGCGGCTATTTAAACCTTGTCTGGGTGAGACATCCCCAGAACCCTGGAACCCTCTGCCACTGGGATTAGTTATGTACTAGAGTGTGTCTACGAGAACCAGCAGGGCATTTTGGACTCCCTGGTTCTGAGGTGTTCCATGCTCAAGATGGTGACTCCTGTGTGCCCACATAGCCCTTCCAGAGGGCTGTGGCCTCTATGGACCTGCAGGTGTGAAGCAGTCTTTGAAAGTGAAAATGATGCACACCCTTACTTTAATGCAGTTGCTATAGTGTGTTCTTTCCCAGCAATGAACTGTAACTTTGTAAGCATTGCCATTTTGAGTTCTGTGCCTCATCAGCAATTGAACTCTAAGTGCTATCTATATTTAAGATGGCCAACTCATTCCAGGTTGCCTAAGAGGTTTTTGTTTGTTTGTTTGTTTTGGTTTAGCAACAAAAGTTTCACATTCCAGAAAATACCTTAGTTCTAGGCAAAATGGGACAGCTGTCTTCTTACCATTTGTACAAATAGAATTTGCCTTCTTACTCTCCCATTTTTCTCAAATATTCAGTAAAAGTTGACTATTATAATTGTTTTGTGTTAGTGGGGTCTAAGGAAATCAAAGGAAAAAAGGTGTGCTCCAAGCTGAGGTTAAGTGACAATGGAGAAAAGGAAATAGCGGTAAGAGACAAGATGAAAAAGATCAAGGATTTAGGTCAGGTAGGAAACTGGAGCTGAGATGAACATGAGAAATGGAAGAGCTGAGACTCCTCACAATAATTGGAGGAGGATGGGTGGATTTCCCACCATATTTTCTGTGGATTCTGGAAACTTTTTAGGTAAATATCAGAGGATGAAATGAGTGTGCAGCTGGAGGAGGTAAGAACACCCAGGATTACAACCAGGGGGCAGAGAAATTAGTACAGACCCTTCACTCTAAGGGCAGAATACACTCTTGTGGACCTCCAATGAGCAGAAAAGATTTATAACATGGTGGGTCTCTCTTGAGAGACATAGATGCTTGGGCATTACTGAGTCCTGTTGCTGGTGCCGAGGATGGATTTAGAAGGGCAGGAGCAGGTGAACCAGCATCTGGTGCTTCTTCCCCACCTGGCTTGGTGTAGGATATATTCCCCTTGTTTGTCATTTACAAAGGAGATTACAACTTGCTAAATATAAAATGACACATATGAGGAGGAAAGACTCATTTTTCTCAGAGATTTCAGTATTGTTTCATATAAAGGCAAACAAACAAAAACAGTTATCGAGTTGACTTTTCAAAATCCTTTCTGGGTTTATTATTCTATAAACTTGTTGGGGGTACAATGTCTTATTTTTCAACTTGGAAATCCAATAAACTTTATAGTCCATAAAGGGAAAGTTAAAGATGTTTAGTAACTGGGGATTCCTTGATTCTTGTCCCTTTTCAGTAAATTTTGACTAAAATAATATATTTTCCAAAAGTGAGTTGCAAAAATATAAAAAGGACTGGCTATTAAATAAAGCCACTATTCATATAAAACTAACACTAATCAAGATGTTGAACAAGATGGCACAGTGGTACACATCTGTAACCCCAGTGCTCAGGAGGTTGAGGCAGGAGGATTACAAGTTCAAAGTCAGCCTCAGTACTGAGTTGGATCGCCAGCACCACATAATAATGCACAAATGAAATAAATGTATTGTGTCTATCTACAACTAAAAAAAAAAAAAGTCAGCCTCAGCAACTTAGCAAGGCCCTAAGCAACTTAGGGTGACCCTGTCTTCAAATAAAAAATTTACAAAAGAGGAGCCACTGGGGATATGGCTCAGTGGTTAAGCACCCTGTAACCAAAAAATGAAAGAAAGAAAGATGGGTGGGAAGGAAGGAAGGAAGGAAGGAAGGAAGGAAGGAAGGAAGGAAGGAAGGAGGGAGGGAGGGAGGGAAGGAAGGAAGGAGGGAAGGAAGGGGAAGAAAATAGTTTAGCATTTCTAAAAATGCTCACTAGTTAAATGCCATGTGACATAATGGCATGTAACTTGACAATATGGCAGATGGAGAGTAAATAGTCCGCTCCTGAAAACATATTTTTTCATTGAAAAACAACCCATCTGGGTACATTATACTTCCTTGGTAAGTCTTTAGATCAATCAGTGACAACTGACACGGAAATATTGTTACCACAGTGGCATAAGTTTCCTCCCTAGGGAGGGGAGGAAGAGGCTAGGCCATAAGGCTTTCTGCTCTGAAATATTCAAATTGGTAGAAGAAGGGGTAAAAAGCCAGATTTGAAGGAAGACAGAAGAAATTTCTTTATTTCAAAAGTTCCATTTCTTAAATACCTGAAAATTAGCAGAATTTTTAAAGAGGGGAGGCAGGGGAGAAGAGGCAGCTGCAGATTATTAAGAAAAGATGGTACATGTACATCTTCAGATTTACATGTCCCACTGCACAGGGCAGGGCAGGGGTGCATCAGGACAAAAGGCTGAAAGGAGTTTTATAGGCTTTGCCTCCTTCCTGGAGCCTCCTTATCACTTAAAAAGGAGTTGAGACTTCTTGGACCCGTATTTTCCTAATTTGCAAGGGGATTGAAGCAGGGTCCAAATCCAGCCAGTTTTCAGTGATAAAGGGAAGTATATCATTTGTGCCTCTCAAAATAAATTTCAATATCAGTAACTATCATCAGTCCAGTGATTTTTTTGTGGCTGGCAAAAGATTCAACTTGACCTTAAAAAAAAAAAAAAAAAAGATTTGTGGGGCTGGGGACGTAACTCAGTGTATTATGCTTTCCTGGCATGTATGAGGTCCTGGATTCAATCCCTGACACTGAAGAAATACTTACTATTGAAATACCCATAAAAGTACCTTACCAAAGTTGGAAATCATATTTAACATGTAGGAAATATGGAAAGTATAAAAACAATGCTTAAATTTTCAGCATCCCAATATAATCATTGTCAACATCTCAAGGTATATTATTTCAGTCTTCTCTGATGTATTTATGGGTGTGTTAGGGAACAGACAGATGAAGATGGTAAAAACATGAGGTTAAGAGAATAATTCTATAAAATAGGCTCACTATGCTGACCCCCACATTCTTTCTTTTCCAAGAAGCAATTTATCTGCATCCCTGCCCAGCCTAAGTGGACAGGATGTTATATTCCTCAGCAAACTACCCATTAACTTCAGGAGAAATGCAGACCCAAGATAACGTCAATTGGAGGAACCCAGGAGTATTTTGTGACCAGATCCTGAAACTCTGGGAGATAAGGATAGGTCCTCCCAACCATAAAATCTGTAAGAATTACAATCAGTCAACATGGGCCAATGTGACCCACAGTTACTTTGACAGTGGGGACTTGAAAGTGAGATGTCACCTTTATGTCAGTCAAAAGCCAAGAGGTGGACCTGGGTAGGACTCTCTGAAAATTTCTCTGGGATCCCCAATAAAACTGGTGTACAAGAGAGGCACATTGTCCCTCTTCTCTCTGAGAGAATCCACTCTCTTCCTTGAGAGTGTCCCTTTTCCCTTTTTCTATCCCTCCAATTAACTTTTCCTGTTATTCTGAGCAACATGTCTAAACTCTTTCTGACTTGATCGCAAGAATCAGGGTTTGAAGAGGGGGTCTTCATGCTGCCTCAGTTTCTCAGAAGATCCCAGCTCCATAAACAAAAACAAACCAATGGCCTTGCATATACAAGGCAAGTACTCTATCACTAAGCCACAACCCCAACCCGTACTGAATTTTTTTTTCTACCAAGGTTTTCCGTATTACTTTATTTTCCTTCAAACAGGTGTCAGGCTTTTTGGTTCATTTCCTTAGAGATGTCATTTTGGCAACACAAAAAGTAGAGGTAGCCTTCAACAACTTTTAAAAAGCAAAATAGGGTCTTGTAGAGAGGGCTGTACCTGGACTAGAAAAGGGATTTGTGAGACATCTCTTCATTCTTTGGAGATGCCCTAGGAAAATGATGCATTCCAGGAGCAGAATGTCTTTCCCAGGCATGTGAGAAAGACCACGGGCATGGGGATTTCTAGTCTACTCAAAGGTTTCAGTTCCTCATATCTACCACAGAAGCTTCCCAGAACTTCCAGGCCCACAGGGACCTTGTATCTATGTGATGACCAATGTGAGCTGATGACAGAAGGCAGAGGGTGTCCTAAAGCTCGGTACCATGTGAGACCCTGAATGATTGGTACAGCCAAAGGCAGAGCTCCAAGAATTATTGAAGTTGAATTTCCTACTAGTCCTGTTGGATGGGAGAATTATAACGAGGATTATATATGAACCCAATGATTTATAGAAAATAATGGAATATCTAGTAGATTCTCATACACATGATTTTGAGGCCTGAGACTTTGTGTGCATTTATTGAAATAAAAAATGTTGGGCAAATTTATACCAATAAAATGCAATGAAAGTGACAGGAAATATTTTATGCGTTGCTCCATGCCTTTAATGTGTGATTTCAACATATGAAGTTTCTGCATGGCTCCATATTTATTAGGCACAATAGCTTTGCTAGGCAACATGACATCTTCTACTCTCCCCACCCCCAACTTATACAAAGTTTAAATTTTGTTAAAATGTAATATGTTTAATTTTATACTTTAGACTAAACTTGATAAATTATCTCACAGTCACAGAAAATAATAAACATGTTGGGTAAAATATTGAAGAAAAATGAAGGCCTCCCCATTACTTATTCCCATGAATCAGTCAATATAAATAACAAATAAATAACAAACTCTAGTTTGGAATAGGAGTGCCAATTCACTCTGTCAGCTTCAGGGAAGGTTATGAGCACACAAAACACAATGATCTTGGTGTTACTCAGAAAATTTCAGAAAAATCAGAACTTCTCTTTGAGATTCTTGAGTTTTCCATTTTAGCTGTGTCATAAGCACGAACTAGTTCTTCCTGAGTGACCACTGCTCCTTCTGTTTGGGAAAATGCATACCCATCTGGAAGGCAAAGACAGGAGAACCCTTCAGGAACATTAATGGCTGGTGAACATTCTGATGACAGACATCGAAACTCCAACTGGACTAGCAAGTCTCCACATTAGACAGAAAAAGGTGACCCATAGGATGAGGGTATGATGACCGAGCAGCTTGCAAACCCAGCTGTATAACAACTTAGGAAGCCCTTGAAGCAATATCCCTTTCTGGGTCCATAGTTGATCTGGAAATGGGGCTGGATGTGTGTGTGTGTGTGTGTGTTTACCTAAGGATAGAACCCAGAACCTCATATATGATAGGCAAGTGCTGTACCAGTAAGACACATCTCCAGCCCCCTTAGTGTGGCTTTTGAAAGATTTCCCAAGGTTTCTGATATGTATCATGTCCTACATAGCAACTGCTATTCTATAGGAAATGACCTGACCATGGCTATGTCACTCTTGCCATTTTAACCATCTATATCACTTGCTGAGGAGTGATTGCCACTTACATGGCTGAGACTAGACTGAACAACTCAAACAGTGGCCTCCTGGGTCCCCAATTCCCTTTTTCCATTGGCATTCAAGAGGAGAGGCCCTGCAAATGTCTGAATCTTGAGGAGGACACTTGCAACTGAAACCTAGAAAAGTAATTGATGAAGCTAAAATCATGCTGGAAAACCACATATGATGTTAATATTAAATTTAGTAAAGAATCCATCGTGCTGGACACATCCCTGTCTTAAAATTTGGCTGATTTAAATAAGTTTTCAAAGTGGTTTAATTAAGTTTAAATAAATAATGTCATTAGTAGAAATTCCCAGAAGAATTGATTCACTTAACAACACTATATTTCTTGGAGGACCAGTCTTATAATCATTTCTGAAAGTTAAGCTGGTACTCAATATAGAGAGCTAACAAGTATTACTGTCCTTCACTAACTCTTGACCTTGATAGGGTAGATAGTAGATCTGTCACACAATACTGCATTCAGATTAAAAGACACAGAGCCCAACAATCACTATTTCTATCCACATGTATCTAAGGCTTATCATGTTGCTAATTAATGACAATGAATTTACTAGTGAGAATTCATGATCTGTGAAAGAAAAATAAACTATAAATGGAACTTACATTACCTACTAATCAGCAGGATTTTAAATGAAATGTCTCTGTGTGCAAGTAAGGGCAAATGGCTCACAACCTTCTCTGTACATTAGAATCACCCAGGGAGCCAAGAAAACTGCATGTATTCTGCCTAAACATTAGACCAGTGGTTCTCTGCCTTGTATGCATACCAAAATTTGCCAGGTAATGCCTGGTTCCATCTCCAGAGGTCTGATTTAGTGAGTCTGTGTGAGGACCAGGAACTGGCATTTCTAACAACTTCACAGGGGACACTTCTATTGCTGTTTTCAGGACTATTAAGTTTGGCATACAGCTGCTTCCATACATTTTGTGTTTGCCTGAAAAGTTCTTACTTAGGAAACTTCAACCTAACTTGATGTGTATAGACTGTAACCTATTCTTATAACATGTACCAAAGTCTCAGCCAGTTTCAAGCAGCCAACTATTCAAACCAAGTTCAAATAAGACAGAGTTGTAACCAATTGGGCAGCTCTGATACTCTTCCATTTTCTGTTTGTCACTTCCTTTTCTTTGGCTATAAATATAACCTGCCCAAGTGGTGAAAGAGGCATTCTGAAACATTTTTGGTTCTGACTGATGTGCTATTCTGGAATCTCAAATAAAGACAACTAAATTCTGCAAAGATTTAAGATTTGTTGGAGAACTACTGCTTTAGGTCAGTGTAATCACCATCTCTGGTTGGATATTGGTATTAATGTTTCCCAAACCCTGAGGATTCCCTCCCTCCTTCTTTCCTTTCTTTCTCCTTTCCCATTTCAGGAAAATTCAATTACAATCTTCAGGTAGAAATTTGGAGTTGTAAAAAAAAACCCATACTGGTGCTTCCTGTATAACCATGGATAATTAACTTGCCTAACATCCCATGGCCAGTTGAGTGGCAGAACATCTATATGATTTCCATGTCTCAGCTCTAGAATTTAACATATTCCACTCTGAATTCTACCAGTTGTTAGTTTTAGAATCTAGGGCCAATGACTTAACCTTGCTTAGCCACCATATCCTCCTCTGGAAATGCAGTTTCAGTCAGTTATTTTGTCATTCAACAAGTATCTGACAATCACCTTCACATAGTGGTTCCCAAGATATAATGCAATGGCCAAGTGTTCAACAGAAGGCCAAGTGCACAGTAAGTGCTTAATAAGTATTAATTCCATTTTACCATATTTACAGTTTACATTGTAGAGAGAGAGAGAGAGATGGAATGGGTTTCTGTTAGTATGTATAATTCAGCTATTAATTAATTGACCTATTAATTAATAAATTATTTCATTTATTCAACAAAACTTTTGTTAAGCATCTACTGCGTACCAGGTGTCCTTCTACTTGCTTGGAGTAAACCAGTGAAGAAAACAAAGATTCTTGCTCTCATGAAGCTTACATTTTGTCAATAAAGACAGATAATAAGCCAGGACATATAAAAAAAAAAAGTTAATCATGTGGTACCCAAAAGGGTAATAAAGAGCTATTAACTAAACAGAAGATAAACTGGAAACATGGTCGGGTTGGGTGGCAATAGAGTGGTCAGGGTAGGCTTCATTGAGAAGGTAATATTTAGGCAAAGACTTGAAGAATGTGAAGGGGTGAGTGTGCAGGTATATAAGGGATTAGCAGTGGAGGCACAGGGAATAGCTAGTGCCAGGGCTCTCGAGCAGGAGTATACCTGGTGTGCCACAAGAAGACCACAAAGGCCAGAGTGAATGAGGGAGGAAGAAGAAAAGGTGACGATAACACCAGGAAAGTAACAGGGCCCAAATCAAGTAAACCTTTGTTGATCATTTTAAGGATTTGGACTTTGATATGGTCTGGAGATGAGGTGTCACCCAAAAGCTCCTGTGTTAAAGCAGAAATGTTCAGAGGTGAAGTGATTGGATTGTGGGAGCTGTAACATTATCAGGCCATCCTAGTTTAAATAGACTGGGTAGTAACTGTAGGCAGGTGGGGGCTTGGCTGGAGGAGGGGGGTCACTGAGGACATGACCTGAAAGGGTTCACTTTCCCTATGGCCCATTTCCCCTTCTCTCTCTGTTTCCTGACCCCACCATAAGATGAGCAGCTTTCCTCCACTGGGCCCTTCCGCCTATGTGCTGCCTCACTTTGGGCCCAGAGTAATGGAGTCAACCATCTATGAGAGAAAAAGAAAAATTAAAAATGGCATCAAGGGGTTTTGCCTGAACAACGGGAAGTGTGAAGTTACCATCAACTGAGATGGGCAAATCTTAGATGGAACAATCTTGGTGGAAGAGGAAACCAGGAGTTCACTTTAGACATGTGAAGTTTGAAATATCTATTAGATAACCAAATGGGTATGTTGAATGGATAGTTGGATATTTGAATTTGGGATTTGGGGGAACAATGTGCACTGGACATATAGATTTGGGAGTTACCAACATATAGATGGCATTTAACTGCTGAGATGAGATTAGATCATCAGTTGAGTGAATATAGACAGAGAAAAACTTAAGAATTGAACCATGGAACATCCAAATATTTAGAGACTGGAGAGAAAAGGAAGAAACCAATCACAACAAAAAGGAGCATCCTACAAGGTAGGAGGAAACATAAAGGGTATAGTATACTAGAAACCGTGTAAAGAAATAGTCCAAGGAGGGTCAAGCAGCCTATGGTACCACCGGCTTCTTTTCAGCTTGAGGAGTGAGAATGGACTACAAAAGGTTCAGTGGTGGCCTAAACCAGAGCACTATCAGTTGAGTGGCAGGAATGAAATTCTGAGAAGAATGGGTATAAGAGAGAAAGAGAGAAGAGAAATTTGATGCAATGGCTACAGATCATTTTTATTAAAAACTTTGTTGCAGTAGTTTCTTTTGACAAGTGGCTCCTGATTGTGCCCAGCCAGACTGCGGCAGTGGAATGCCATGAAATGAAAACAAAGCTAATGGTTAACATGTGGCAAAGAGAACATTCTACTTTGTAAGAAAATCTACTGTGTGTTCTGGTGAGAATCTGTGGAAACAGATGGGATGGCCAACCAGGCGCATGGATACAGCTGGCAAGTAAGGTGTGATGAGAGGCCCAGGGAAGGTCACCTCTCATCCTATGTAGAAATCAAGGTCCTCAGTTGGGAATGAAGATGGGAGAGACATTAACTCCAGTCCTTCAAATGTCTACTCTGGTATATGTTTTCTTATCCTGGTTCATTTCTATGTCCCATTATTGCTCAGCTTCCCCCCGCCCCCCAGATCTCTAGTGAGAGTCAGGAAAGCAAAGGGGTGGGCATGGGATAGGCTGAAGAAGTAGTGTGTGAGCATGTGTGAGCTTGCATGTGTCCTGAATCATCCAAGAGGCAAACAATAGAAATTTTTAAAAAAAAATACAATAAGAGAACCTAGAACTTAAAAATTTCAGTGAATGCCTTTGTCCAAAAAGGGGCAATTTGGTCTCATTCCCAACAAATACCACAACTTGTTTCCTTCTTGTTTCTTTTGTTTGATTTGTTTTTGTTCCCAATATAGCATTCAGCATTAATATTGCAAAATGAAGGTCACATAGGATCCAAATCTTCCATTCAGGCAACTTTGGGTGGATTTCTTATTAAGAGAAGGAGAAGTGAAATAACTTCAAAGTTGTTTTCATGCCTAATGGAGCTGTGCTAACTCTGTACCAATGAAGGGTATGTAAAGTTTCTTTGGGTAAAAATTATTAGGCACTACCACCAGTTTTATCTTTAAAATGGTATAATGGGAATCTGTCGGAGAATCTTGAAAACTTTAGGATTTACATTTAAGGATTTTATGTTTTAGGAACAAGAAATCTGGAATAATCTTTTTTCAACCTGCTCATGACTTAGGCTAAACACATTAACTTCTGAAATCCAACTGAGCTCTCTTTTCCTGTAAGAACTATCTTTGAAAAAAAAAGATAATAATATAGGCAGTTTCCATTTATTTCTTATAATTGTGATAAATACACATAACATAAAGTTTACCATCTTAACCATTCCTAAATGCATAGTTCTGTGGCATTATGTACATTCACATTGCTGTAAACCATCATTACCATCTGTCCCCAGAACTATTTTCACTTTGAAACTCTGTGCCTGTTAGGCACTGACTCCCCATTCCTACTCATCACTCCCTGACAACCTTCATTCTACTTTCTGTCTCTATGAATTTGATGATTCAAGGTGCCTCATAAGGGAATTCATACAGCATTTTGGCCTTTTGTATTATGCTTATTTCACATAGCACAATGTCCTCAAGTAGAATGAATTTTTAATTTTTAATTCCTCACCCCTCTCGTGGACAGACAGTTTCAGACCATGATCCATTTTACGGTGAGTTACTTACGTGGGGCACTTAGATCAACAGAATCATCCCGGAAGAAAATCTCACAGGGCTGTGTACTAAAGGACACTGTGAGACTTGCTGCTGTCATCCTGGGAGTAAATCAAACACAGCCTGGCATTAATTCATTAGAACAGGTCTCAAAGGAATTGACTGGGAAAGATCAAGTTGTAAGTGAAAGTAAGAAACTATACCACATTTTGGTTATGTATCTAAAATAAAACGGTATTATCTACACACACTCAGCAAGATGCTATTTCTAAAATAGTGTTCTGCTGTGAGCATTTCTTAGATAAAACTCTCCTAACTGTCCTTTCCAAATAGTTGAATTGAACCATAAGTGTTTTGCATTCTTCTTCAGAGCACCTTAGAGATACATGAGGTGTACCTTAACAACATTTGTCTCAACTTCCTTTCTTCATGGCAAAGAATAATAAATGAGTTTGGTTCAAGACTCTTGGCAGTGGTAGAAAGCATTGGCATAAACATGAGGGGGACCTTCTTCTTTAGCCCCCAGAACTTGTTATGGGACCAACAGTAAAAAATCCAAGGGTAGGACTTTCTAAGTTCTAAAAGGTGGGATCACTTTATGAATTTTCCCCCTCTAAGGAGCATAATTAATGTAGTTTATGCTTTATTTATTTATTTAAATTTTTTCCTATAGTTGAAAGATGGGGTTAAAATACCCATATGGTCAAGCCTACATTGTTTTCCTATATACTGGCTATTAACAAACCAAAAGAGTCTTCTGCTATGTTGGATTTACTGTGTGCATTGATATCTCCATTTGAGGGGTTTTAAGTTTGTACAACAAGTTACAGCGGCTTTCAGCAACCACAACAACACCTTTACACGTGGTGTCCAATTTCCCTTATGTGACTCCAGTTCTGTTCCTAAGGCTGACCACTGAGAATCAGGAACCCCTGCCTCCTGCCAAGATGGGAATCGGCCCTTCCAGCTCAGAGGAGGGTTTCTAGGGACTGTCTAAAGAGGAGAGAGAATGGTTGAACTAGGCAGGTAGCAAGAGAGCGGCCTTTATTTACTTTCTTTTTAGATATTTATAATGATGCACCTATTTCACCATGACAAACTTAAGAAAGAGGTTGAAATGTTCCAAAGTAATTAAAACAATCAGATAATGATTCTAGATTTTGCTCCTATACCCAGAAGCATTTGTTTCTGGGCTTTCCGAAATCCCTTTGTACTATAATCCCAGGCCAGAGACCCAACTCTGAGGATCCCACTAAATCAGTTCTGGCCAATTGCTCCCTCCCCCCCCCCCCCAAAAATGGTGAAAGTAATGATGAGAAGCAGGAAAGGAACTTTAATCAAAATAGTCATATTGAAAAGACAAGTGAGATCAAGTGTCTCAGCCCTGTCTTCAGGGTATTGACATGAGCTTTAGATTTAAATAGAGAAAGAATTGGGGCAGGTGGCAAAGGTGTGCATAATTGAGCAGCCTTGGTCAAACTGGTCTGGTTGTTCATTATCTTAGTTCTGGTTCTGTGTGAGGTTACTCTGGAGAAGTCCTTATTATCACTTCAGAAAACACTTCCCATTTGCTTTGCAGGGTATTTATTTTTCAGACCTGTGATCCTAGAAGTGGGTAATTCAGGTACCCTGAGATGACTGCTCCTGATGGGGAGGCAGTCTTATCATGGGGTGATCTGCCTGCCAGTTTCTTTGTTCTGGAAGGTGTAGGTCAATGACTGGAGACTTACAGGTGCTGCTCCAGAGGTCTGGAACAGGACATTGTAAAAGCTGGCAGTTGAATGTCCCTGTCAGGACTTCTTTAAAAAGGCAGCATCTTTAAGCCTCTGTTATATGTTTACCCATTTATATATCCTCTTTTCCCTCTTTCTTTGTCAGGGTGAAATAGGTGCATCATTATAAATATCTAAAAAGAAAGTAAATAAAGGCCCCTCTCCTGCTCCCTGCCTTGTTCATCATTTCATTCCTTCCTGGTAAATCCCTATTATTAGTTTCTTGGGTAATTTTGCAGAGGTGCTTTATCAGTGAGAGTGATTATGTTTTTTTGTACCACAGATTGAACCCAGGGGGCTCTTAACCACTGAATCACATCCCCAGCCCTTTCTATATTTTATTTTGAGACAGGGTCTTGCTTAAGTTGCTTAGGGTCTCACTAAGTTGCTAAGGTTGGCTTTGAACTTATGGTCCTCTGGCCTCAGCCTCTTGAGCCAGTGGGATCACAGGCATGCACAATGGTGCCCCGTGTGATTACGTATTTTGATTATCTATGTCTTTTACAAAGAATTTGCATATTGTACACAGTGTTCTGCATTGATTATTCCTGTTAATTTATCTCAGGGACATTTCCATCACAGTATATAGATGTATCACAAGGTGTTATTATCTGAAATATTTGCTATTCCAAATATTACTCCAGTACTTGAGATATCTGCAGATATTTCTAGGGCAAAGAAGAGGGGTAAATTCTCAGAAATGGAATTGCTGAGTCCAGGCTAAATGCATTTGTATTTCTGATAAATTTTGCCAAATTAATGGCTCTAAATCTTTCTTTTCCCATGTCATCACCAACCGAAGGTAAGAAATTCTGATAAATGAAGAACATTCTTCCCATGTACTTACCAGTTTTAATATCTTATGAAGTTGAGGGTACATTTGTATGTTTAAGGACCATTGTATTTCTTTCTCTATGAACTGTTTATTATTATATTTCACCTGTTTTTCTATTGCTTTGTGGGCTTTTTCAACTTTTTTTTCTGATTTCTGGAAATATCCCAAATTTTCACTTTGCTCATTTGAGAGATTAACCCTTTGCCATGAAATCTTTATTTTTGCACATTTATACTGTGTTTATATTTTTCCTGCTAAGTCCATTTCGTCTATGTTAAAATTCATAGTTCAGTATCATTAGTTTTGACAAAGGTATTTACTATATACTTGTTTTTTCAAATTTCTAAATAAATTTCCTTTATATCTGAAATCTCCTTGAAACTTTCCAGTCAAAACCTCAATGGAAAGCCATTGCTCTGATTGACATAAATGTGCATAATGTGTCCTGTGTCCTCCTGTGCAGGGAAACAGGGACTGTGCTGCAGGGCATGTGCAGGTCAAAATGCCGTTTGGCATGTACTTAATGAACTTGGGGAGTAAGGGGGAGACTGAACATTCCTGGGAAGGAAAGATGTGAGAAAGAATAAGGAGAAGGTGTTCTTAACAAAAACCATAATGAAGAGAACAGACTCACCTCTTTTCAAAAATCTCACTATGTTCCAATATTCTATCTTTTCTGCTTTCCAGCTCCTGAATTTCTTCTAGAAGCCCTCTTTTGTAGGTATTTTTAATCCTATAGCATGTGGAAAGATAAAAAGAACATAGCATATGAGCTTTATTTGCTTGAGCAACTCTTCCTTGCCCTCTTAGATGGCAGGCTGGGCATCCTCTAATGATTGGTGATATGAAGAAACATGGTATGACACCACATCAGCAGCCTCCATGTGCAACCAGGCTGTTTCCTAGCACCTGAAAAGCATTACCAGAGGGGCTCAGGGTAGTGTATGTTAGCAGCTGGCAGCCCCCAAACTTCTCACTTTCCATGAAGGCTGCAACTCTGTTGGATGCATGTCCAGGCTATAGAAGTACTCTGACTATGGAGGGTAGACCTTTCCTGTGTTAGTCACACAGAGCACTGACGATTCATAGGACTGAGATGTGACTACTTATACCCTTTTCTGCTGTGAAAACTGCTTGAGAATCTTGATGCTCAGGTTCTTATTCAGCTGTGTCCTTTTTCTGTACTTAAATCAAAGAACACTAGGGCTAGCTGTGCCGTTTATAGCAATTATAATGGCAGACAGGAAGTCTCTGTAGTTACTGTAGCAGAGATCAATACATTTGATCTCAAATATACAGGTGACTCAAAGAGATGCTTTCCCTTTCTTTGTCAACTTGTTTGCAATGGGGCATTGTCAATAGTTGGGCATTCATCATTTATCCACTCATGGGTTCTTAAACATACTTCGTGAGTTATAATTAGATATCATCCTACTCCTCGTAAAGGAAAGGTGGCTGCTGACTTACACTGCCCAGCTCTGCCCTGCACCCCTCTGATAATGGTTCTAAGCTTCTAGAAAAACAGTGTCTGGGTGGCACACAGAGCTGCGCACGTTGCCTTCTCATAAAGATAAGGGACTTAGCTGGTGCAGTGACTCTTTGGGGGCTGAGATAGAAGGTTGTTAAAGATATCAGTAAAAGTTCCTCTGAGGAAGTGAGTGGAACTGGTGTCTAGAGGAGATGGAGCAAGTAACTAAGGGAGAGGGGAAGAATATTCCAGATAGAAGGAATATACCCGGAAGCCCAGCAGTGGCAAAGTGTAGCTAGAGGAGATGGAAGACATGGGCACAAAATAGGCCATCGATGGCCCTTATAAAGATTTGGCCTTGTGGGCTGGGATTGTGGCTCAGCAGTAGAGCACTTGCCTAGCATGTGCAGGGCCCTGGGTTCCATCCTCAGCACCACATAAAAATAAATGAATGGAATAAAGGTAATGTGTCCAACTACAACTAAAACAATAAAAAAGAAACAAACAAACAAAAAAGATTTGGCCTTGTCCCTGAAAGGAAGCCCAGCAGAGGCATCTATCAGGAATAGCTCACGAGCTACTGTATCAGCCATGGTTGTCTTTACCTCCAACCAAGTCTCACGGGAAAGTGCAAGAGACTTTAGGATATCAGTAAAACTTGGTGGCTTATAAATTTTGGTCTGGCCAACATGGGAAAGGATGGGAAGAAAAAAGAGGACTGATGGATTCGGAGAAATTAGAGATCAATGGTCAAGTTTTGGTACAAAAAAGTTAAAAAATGTGATACCAGACTTAACAAGATAACATTATGCAAAAAATTAACAAACCTAAATGCTAATGTATACCTGAGGGAAAATGCTGTTTGCTGTGTATCTAAGAGGTGTGCTTCCATTTAAGGAATTTTCTAAGACACTTCTTAGAAAATGAAGCTATCATTCAACCCTCCCTCCAAAAACAATAATTTCCCTAATATTCTGATTCCAAAGCCTATGTCACTCTGCTCTCATTTTATTTTATCTTTTGTATTCCTTTCTGATCAAAGTAAAATAATGAATAAAATATAAACATACAGTTACGCTACCATGCTCCTCTCACAATTGACCCTGAGGGCTTATCTATTATTAAGAGTTGCCTGGGAATTACTTATGGGAAATAGCAAAGCAAGGAAGGAAAAATATTTAACAAAATGTGGCTTAGGTTTTGGAAAAGAGATATAAGACCATATTAAAGTTCATGGTTATTCATTGTGAAAGAGCTCTACTTATTAGATGTTTATCTAAGGACATTTTTGGCCATCACAACCTGAAGAAAGGACAATAACAACAAAGGAGAGCTTTTGTAAGGCAGTTAAAGTAGAGGCACAGAATATATTTGCTGTGTATCTAAAATGAGTGACTTTGGGTTATGGAAGGAAAATACGGACATCTTCTAATACCTTGGAATGGATTCTATCAAATGGGGTATATTTCATTTATTCTTTTCCACAGAATAATGAACCAAATTATAGGCTTTCTGCATGAAAAATAGATAGACAACACTATGTGGAATGAAATTTCTTAACACTTTATATATATATTATCTGAATTAGAGTTCTATGTGATAAAGTGCTTTCATTTAATATGTAGATTTCTACATTAATATCAGATTTTTAAAGTGTATCATTTTATATGAAAAAGATATTAAAATGACATTGAACCACATTAGTTTCCATTATCATGTGTATTTGACACTTCTCAAACTCAGAACCACCCCTCACTGTAAATCATATAAATAGCTGAAAATTGGCTATTGTGGCTCAGAAAGCAACACCCCAAAATTTATCATTTTAGATGTCAAATTGAGCAGCAAACCCAAGAAGGGCTTTCTCCCAAGTTACCTTCTGCACCTAAAGATGAGATCTGCCTATAAGAAACAAAATTGCCTTAAAATCTTCATACTGAAATGCCATTGACCAAGGAGAATTAAAGCTCATAGCACAAAGGAAGAGACTGAAAATCAAACACCCTACCCAGAGTCCAAGGTACTTTGTCCCAAGTCTCTGTCTATTCTCTAGGCTCACTTTCTTCCTTAAAAACAATTTATTGACCCTCGAAAATTTCCTACAGCACCCCACTGACCTCTTTCCTAAGAAGGGCATTGTTTTAAGTTTCAACCATCCAGCCCTTCTTTGAACTTCATGTTTTGTATGGCTCGTATGAATATGTGCACACGTTAGTAAGTTTGTGTACCTTACCTTGTCTTAATCTGCCTATTATCAGTTTGTTTCAGTAGGCCAAATTACCAGCTTTCAGAGAAAAAGTCTGAATTTCTATATGCTGTACAGGAAGGACCTCTCAGATGATGGGTATCCCTCCGGCCACCACAATGTCTTCAGACTGCAGGAAGCTGCACCCCTGTGCAGCAGTTGGGAGACTATTCACAATGATAACCAGCATATATATAAGGCCTCTATAATTTGGTTCTTTATTCTGTGGAAAAGAATAATGGGACGATAGTTCTCTCAGCAGTTCCTGAGAAGCAGGGTCTGAAATCTCATCTCAAACAGAAAGAACAATGTCTGACCCATGTATTTTTTAGCCTTTCACTTTCAGCACAAGCGTCTTGCTTTTTCAAGTTCTCCCCATTGCACCACCTCCTCAGCAACCAGCTTTTCTTCTGTGACCTCTTGGGCTGGGCTCTAGATGGGGAGAGGTGTGTTTCAAGCACTTGTGCATTTCTTAATTGCTGAAATACTGCTCATTTTCAACAGTAATGATTCCTTTATCTCTCCACTGAAATTATATTTCATCTATATTACCAAATAAATAGGCATTTGTGGCCTTGACTAACAAGAAAACAACAACATAAAGACCACTGCTGTTTCTGTTTCTTTAAGAAAATGTCTCCTCAATAATATTTCATAAGGATATATTTATAATGGCAATATTGCAATGTGTAGAATTTAATGGTTCTAAAAAGTTAAACATAGCTTCAAAATGTTCCAAGATTCAAAAACTCATGTTTCAAGATTGACAGTGATATCCTTATTTTGTCTGTGTGTTTGTGTATGTGTGTGTGTATTTGAAGTTAATCAATACTTGATTCATCTAGCACCTAATGATAGCATCTAGCACCTAATCAATTACTTTGTTTACTTTGTTCCTCACCAATTATTTCTGGGAATCAAATTAAAAAGTTTTCAGATAGGATGCAGGTAAGGAGACAGGAAATACTGTATGTTTTCCAAAGTTAAATTTTAACTGGACATTAAAATTGCCCTGGGTCAAGTTCTTAACAGTAAGCTTTCTTTTCCCAGAAAAAGAAGACACTTCAGACTAAATAATTAACTAATGCTTATTTTAACTTGTGAGTCTTCTGCATATTCTAGTTCCATATACACTCTACCTCTCCAGCACTCTAGCTCTGCTTCCAGGAACACTTTGGTATTCCTGGAATACCAAATTTGATGAATTATACCTTTAGGTGATGAATTTTTAGCACCTAGATTGAAAGTGTCTGAATAATGGGAGATGATTTATTTGGGAGTTTTTGGTTTTTTTTTTTTCCCCCTGTGCGAGGATGAAACCCAGGGCTGAAGCATGAGAGGTAAGTGCTTATCCCAGGCTCTGGGTAGTTTGTGGTTATTTATTTTGATACTGGGGATTGAACCCAGGGACACTTTACCATTGAACCATATCCCAGCCCTTTCAATTTTGAGATAGGGTCTTGCTAAGTTGCTTAGGACCTGTCTAAGTTGATGAGGGCTGGCCTGGAACTTGTGATCCTCCTGCCTCAAACTTTCAAGCCATTGGGATTACAGGCATGTGCCACCTTGTGATTATTTTTAATAAACAAGATCACAGATCTATTAATACAAAGAAAGGTCCATAAGTGTTCATTAAATTAGAAACTTTATCTCTTCACATGGCAAAGTTTATCAAAATGTTTATATTTCAAAAAAGGGATGAGACTTGGGCCATGGAGACATTCCAGGAATTGTAAATCCACAGACATTTGTTTTGTTCTCATCCCTGAAGACTTGTATTTACATTCAAGGGGTTAGGACCCACAATCTTTCCCTGTCATCTTTCAAGGAAAATTTGTTGACATTAAGGAGCAAAGTTTCCCTCCTCTCTCTCTCCAAAACAAACTCCCAGATTCCTATTTTTGGCTTTCTCTCCATGGTATGAACTTGGTACTTTCAGGCTATTCCACCCATTCCTCACTGCATTACCCAGAAGGGTGAAAATCAGGGCCAGGAGAACTAATGTGGCTACCTACTGCTGTGGGTAAGTAATGAGTGTCCATTGCTGCCCCTGAAACTTCATGTCCACTTTCAGGATAATACCAATGTATCAGTACCTTTGCCCCATTCCCATAGCTAACTTTGGTTAATACCAATATGAAGGGAGTTCTTCAAATGTTTCTTAGACTCTCAGGCAAGATAATTCTTTTTGAAGGTGGAATGAATGAAGAGATCATATATGGACACACAGTGAGAGAAGAAGGGTGGGAAGGAGAGGAGAGCAAGGCAAGTAGAAGGGAGAGGGGAGAAGGAGAGAGGGAAGAAAACATGGTATATATTTTCTGGAAATGCTGGGAAAGATTCAGTTCTCCACTTTGGGCTCCACAAATAATTCTGTATTTCCTGATACATAGAGAAATTCAGGAAGAATTAAATGTTAAAAAACAAAATTAATATTATCCCATTCAGTATATGCCTCATTAATGAGTTTGAAATTTGTTTTAGAATTTTGTTGTTCATGTTACAGAATATGTGTAATAATTCATATTATAAACAAACTGCTTCTGTTTTAAAGCTGTGTAATTCCATAAATCCTTTACCTTAATATTAGGGATTATATATAGTTTAAAGTGCCTTCCACCTCTGCCACCCCAGCCCTTAATGGACTTGGTTGAAATAAATTGAGAAACTCTAAACCAACATTTAAATATTTGGGGGAAACTATATTTGAGAGGGTTTTACTCCATTTTTTTTCAAAGTAAAGAATGTTTTTCCATTGAGTATTTACCTCTTACTATTATTTTTAGTTTTTAATCTGTGATCCTCTGATTTGGTTTTGACTCCAATAAATTAGATAAAATTGAAGTCACACTTCAAAAGAGAAAAGAAATGGGTCAGTGTTTGGAAAAAAATCGTGAGTGCGGTAATATCACCACAAATTTCATATTCCCTCCTGTGTACTTTCCTTCCATGTTTTTTCCCATTTAAATTGATTGCCAGTAAATCTCCAGTGGCAAGAAAGCAGAAGACAATTTCTTTCTTAAAAACCTTGTGACATTTCATATGCATAAAGGGATACTCAGTGTGGTTTGAAAGATATATACATAATTGAAAAAGGGTAGTTGAGCATGCCAATAAACTTTTTGGCTACTACTTCTTTTTTCAACTTACAATTTCCAGAAAAAATTTTGAATCAGGCAGGTAGTAGGGACTAACAAAAAACCCATCCAGAAGTGTGGACAACCCAGAACCATATTGATCTGCAAAGAAACAGAAATAAAGAATGATTAAAGAAGAATCTTTGCCTTTGTCAACACTGAGTGCCTGTACAGCTATCCATTTCCTCCCCTCCACCACAACTGTCAATGCCAGAAAAGATATGGAGGCAGTTGTAAGAAACTGAGAACTGCTAAATCAACACAGATGTGTAAAAACTAAAGATGGTATTAACTAATTTATTTCAATGTGTTCTAAAATCAAGCAATCAAATAAATATTTGACCAAGTAGGTTTCTATCCCAGGTATTCGAGGATGGGTCAGTATTATCTTACTAAGCAATACAACTTTAACTGCTATGTTATATGTAAAACAATTTTGCCATTGTATTCCCTGAGAGAATTCACTCTTCCTTTTGCCTAGCACATTAAATGGTTGTTGACTCATTATGTTAGTTCAATTAGAGACTATGTGAGTTGAGACTCAGTAAGGCTCTCTCTATCTCTCAGTCCCTCGTTTGCCTTTGACTTGCCAAGGTTTGTTTTTTTTTTTTTTCAACTGAGTACCTGCTGTTGCAAGTCTCAGTCTCTAATATTTGTCTCCTGATTTTTCTCAGTACTCTGTTATTCTCATGTGTTAGTTTCCTACCTTATGCTGTCCCAGAATTTGCCAAATGTACAGAAGGGGAAGCTGAGTGCCTGAGGTCTCCCAATCATCTGTCAGAACATCTTCAGGGTCTGTGGTTCTATCAGTTTTGGTATTTGCTATTTCTTGTGGATTTTTTTTTCAATTTATATTTATTGTTATGTAGAGTTGCTCACAAAATCCTCTTAACACATTTGCAATATTCGTATTAATTTGGTTTAACCAAGAGAAAGACACCATGACAGGTTTACAGGAACAAGATTTTCATTGGCAGAGAAGACCTTCAGACCATATTGCCAGACGGACACCTATGGAAGGAGAGAGGCTAGGAGAAGGTAGAGAAGGAGAACCTGGGATTTTAGCAGTGTCAAGAAATGTTTAGTTAGCCTGATAGGGACAGAGTCACCAAGGAGACCCATCTTAGTATCCCCATGTCTCAGTCATTGCCTAGGAACATCCTGTGGGGATGCTGGCCTTGATATGAACATGGTGTGACTCCAGAGGGACAGGAGCTAGGGCCAGCAGTCAGGAATACTGACATTGATACACTGACCATTGGTAATGGTGTTTTCTCTTATTCTTTCTTAAGAGCCTGTTTAGAGGGTCATCAATTTTATGAATCTTTTCAAAGCATCAAATCTGGTCTTTGTTGATTCTGCATTGGTTTCCTATTCATTGATCTCTTGTCTTTATTTCCTGTTTTTAGTTTTCTGAGGTTTGATTCTTTTTTTTTTGATCCAGGGATTGAGCTCAGGGGCACTCAACCACTGAGCCACATCCCCAGCCCTTTTTTGTATTTTATTAGAGACAGGGTCTCACTGAGTTGCTTAGCACCTCACTGTTGCTGAGGCTGGTTTTGAACTTGTGATCCTCCTTAGTCTCCTGAGCCACTAGGATTATAGGTATGCACCACCACACCTGGCTGGAGGTTTGATTCTTTTTTCTAGCTCTTGGAGTTGGAAGCTTAAGTTGATTTTTTTTCAGGCTTTCTTTTAATATATGCATTTCATACTACAATTTTCCCTATTAGAAATGATTCAGCCAGATAATATCAGTTGATTACATATTTTTCTTTAAATAACTTCTTTTTGGTTCTTTGTCAAATGTATCTGTATTTTCTCCTTCAGTGTCTTTTAAAATTTGCATATTTTACTTTTAAATTACTTTAATTATCATTTTCAGATGGCATTTTAATTTCTCATTCTTAATCTACTGTGCTATAATCTGACTTTTTAAAGAATCTTTATATCTTCAGTAGGGTAATTTTTCTTTTGTAAGAGTATATTGTACCTGGAAAAGTACAATATACTGTGAATGGCTTTATAATTACTTTTTGGGAGGAATTCAAGACATTTCCCCAAAACCCACATGAATTTTCATTTGATTGTATTGGTTTGGGATTCTTCAGCTGGGAGGAAGGTGTCTTTTTCTTATAAAGACTTAGAGCCCAGGAACCAAACAGATGACAAATATTATTACTTTTTGTCTTTGAATTTTCTTGTCTCCTTTCAAGAAGGGGCAACACTTTGTGGCTCCTGAATTACTGTAGAGTCTCTCTTTTATAACCCCGATAGGCCCCCCAAACACTACATCCCAATGAGATTGTTGAAATAGAGTGTTCTGTCTCCCAGTCTTACATCAGTATTTAATACACCCTGGACAGTCAATGTCACCTCAAGTTTCTGCTCTGTCTTTGAGTCTGAGAAGGACTAGTCAGAGGATTGGATGAGTCATGAGGAATACCAAAAATCCTAAGAAAACAGGGCTAGGGCAGTATGGAAGTGAGAAAGTAGAAATTCAAGCTGCGAGATCCAGTTCTCAATGGATTTGATTGTAAGTGATTCATTGTAACTTTTGCAAAATCAATTTTAGAAAAATGATAAAGGCAAAACCAAATTTTAATGATTTAGGTGAAAATATTCAGGTAAGAGAAGGAAATTAAAGGGATACAAATAGGAAAAGAAGAGCTCAAATTATCTCTGTTTGTTAATGGCAGGATTCTATATTTAGAAGATGCATAAAACTCCACTAGAAGACTTCTAAAATTCTTCACCAAAGTAGGAGGGTACAAGATCAGCACTCAAATCAATTGTGTTCCTATACTCCAATAAAGAATCTCCTGAAAAAAGAAATTAGGAAAACTATCCCATTCACAATAGTCTCAAAAATATACTCTAATAAAGGAGGTAAAGGATATCTACAATGAAATGATAGAACTCTAAAGAAAGAAATTGAAGAAAACCTTAGAAGATGGAAAGACCTCCCATATTCTTGGAGAGACATATTCTTGTCAAAATGTCCATACTACCACAAGTTCTATATAGATTCAGTGCAATTACCATCAAAATTCCAATGACATTATTCACAGAAATAGAAAAAGCAGTTCTGAAATTCATTGGGAAAAATAAGAGACCCAGAATAGCCAAATAATCATTATCAAAAAGAGCAAAGCTGAAGGCATCACCATACCAGACCTCAAAATATACTGAAGAGTTATAATAAAAAAAAACAGCATGGTACTGGCACCAAAACATAAGAAGACCACTGGAATAGAATAGAAGAAACAGAGACAAACTCACATAAATACAGTTATCTAATACTAAACAAAGAGAAATGTATGTTTACATTTTTAACAAATGGTCTTGGGAAAACTGGAAATCCATATGAAGAAGAATTAAATATGATCCCTATCTCTCACTCTGCATAAAACTCAACTCAAGGTGTATCAAAAATCTAGGAATTAGCTGGGCATGGTGGCACATGCCTGCAATCCCAACTGCTCAGGAGGCTGAGACTGGAGGATTGCAAGTTCAAAGCCAGCCTTATGAAAAGCAAGGTGCTAAGCAACTCATTGAGACCCTGTCTCTAAATAAAATACAAAATAGGGCTGGGAATGTGGCTCAGTGGTCAAGTGCCCCTGAGTTCAATTCTCAGTACAAAAAAAGAAAAAAAAATCTAGGAATTAGAACAGAAACCCTGCAATTACATGTTGGCACAGGAACTGATCTCCTTAACACAAGTCCTAAAGTACAAGAAATAAAATAAAAAAGTAATAAGTGGGATGGCATCAAATTAAAAAATTTCCACACAAGTGATGGAAACAAGAGCATGAGAACATGGGAGAATATCTTTGCCACCTGCTTCTCAGATAAGGGTATTAAGAACTTGGATATACAAAGAACTCAAAAAACAAAAAAACAAAGCAAAACTAAACTAAACAGATACTTCTCAAAAGAAGAAACACAAATGGCAAACAAATTGTTCAACATCTCTAGCAATTAGAGAAATGCAAATTAAAACTACATTGAAATTTCATATTACTCCAGACAGAATGACAATTATTAAGAAGACAAATAATGAATGTTGGTGAGGATGTGGGGGGAAAGGTACACTCATATATTTTTGGTGGGACTTTAAATTAGAGCAATACTCTGGAAAATAGTAAGGATATTCCTCAAAAATTTAGGAATAGAACCACTATATGACCTAGTTATCCCACTCCTCAGTATATAACCAAAAGACTTAAAATCAGCCTGTTATGACACAGCCACATCAATCTTTATAGCAGCACAATCCACAGTAGCCAAACTATGGAACCAGTCTAGGTGCCCTTAAACAGGTGAATGACGAACAAAATATGGTATATACACACACAATGGAATTTGCTCATCCATAAATAAGAATGAAATCATGGCATTTTCTGCTAAATAGATGGAACTGGAGACTATCATGCTAAGTGAAATAAGCCAGTCCCATAAAGTCAAAGGTTGAAAGTTTTTTTCTGATATGTGAAAACTAATCTTAAATAAAGGGTTGGTGGGGGAGGGGAAAGAAAGAGAGACAGTAAAAAAAAAGGAGAGGCAATTTCATCAAAATAAAGATCAGTGGAGTAGACAAAGAGGGTGGAGAAAGGGGAAGGAGGAATGGGGGAAAAGAAAGAACAGTGGAATGAATCTAACCAAACTTTCATATGTACATATATGAATATAGAATAGTGAATCCCAGCATCAAGTATGCCCTCAAGACAGTAATTTAAAAAAATCTATATATAAATTACAGAAAGATCAGTGGAAAGAGGGAAGGGAACAGGAGAAGGGAGAGAGGAGAAGGGGGGAAGTTCTGTGGACTGAATTAAAGAAAATTATATTCTATGCATTTGTGATTATGTCAAAATGTATCATAATGTTATACAGAATTTAAAAAACTAGAGCAAATATCCTTGAAATCATTATCCCAATCAAGAACATATCTACCATCCCCATAACTTCCCTTATGCTCCTGATTAAATGCCAGTTCTTGCCAAACCTATACAATTTGTTTCTTCTTTCTTCTTTCTCTTCTTTCTTCCTTCTCTTTCTTTTTATTTCTTTCTTGGGCTACTTTATTTATCTCAAAATCATTATTTTGAGATTCATCAATGATGTTAGATGTGTCAATAATTTCTTCCTTTTTATCTCTGAATAATATTCTATGGTATGGTATGTGATTATTCATTCACCCATTTATGGACATATGGGTTGTTTCCAGTTTTCAGCCATTACTATAAAGTTGACATGAAAATTAACGTGCAAGCCTTTCTGTTAGTATACACTGTCATTTACTTTGAGTAAATTCCCGGGAGTGGAGTTTAGTGGTACCCACCTTACAAAAGGTGTGTGAAACTTGTATGAAACTGCCAAGCAGCTTTCCAAGACAGTTTTATCAATGTACATTTCTACCAGCAGTCCATAAGAGTTCTTCTTGCTTCCACATCCTTACCAACATGTTGTTTGTATCATTCTTATATAATTTTATCCTTCGTAGTAGTTGTATACTGATGTCTCATTTTGGTTTTAGTTTGTATTTTGTATTTACCTAATAAATAATGGTGTTGAACATCTTTTCATTTACTTTTTTCATTTCTATTCTTTGATAAAGTGTCTATTCAAGTATTTTACAATCTTTATTATTTCCTTTCTTGTTGGTTTTTATTTTTCTAGTTTCTTAATGTGTAAGTAGAAGCTACCGACTTGAGAATGTTCTCTATAGATAAGTATAATGTTAAAAATGTCCCTTCTTCCAAGAATCATAGACCCTTAAGTATTATGTCTGTTTGTTACTTACTAATGCTTTCCAACAATTCTTTTCTTATATGTTGTCCAGTTTTTACAGTTCTTTTTTCAATCTCTTTCAATATCAGCCATTCAGTCATGGGCTAAAGCAAGAAGATCCTTTATAATTCTCATGTACTGGCATTGGGCTGTCCCAAGCCTGGGGGTACAGTCATCATCTCCTATATCCCCAGAGATAGGCAGGGGTAAAAAGGATGGCTGTTTAGTGGAAAGAACACAGGGATTTAGCTAGTGAAATCTGGACTCGCATTTCTTCACTTAGTAATTGAGTGGGTTTGTATCAAGTTCACCTATAATTCCCATATCATAGAATTCTGTGATTCACTTTATAAGAATGTGGTCTAATCCCTATGCCTACAAGAGGCATAAACACAGTAGAATTTAAAAATACATAAAAAAGCATAACATTTTTAGAATATGCTCTGAAGTTTCATATAAGTAAAATAACAGCTTCCATGTAGGTTTAAAATATTTAGAAGTTTAGACTATGTATTCTATTTTGAGAACTGAAGAATGGCTATTCTAAATATTTTAAATAATAATAATTTCCTAATTCCATGCATGTGTTACCAAGTACAAATAATTTGAGCACATAGCATATTACATGAGAAATATAATTACAATATTAGCTATTTTAGATGATTCAGCCATTACTATCGCTTATATACACAAAAAACACAAATTTGGGGAAAAGTGGTTGATTTGGATAGTTTAAAATAATAAGATTTTGGATATAATATTTTTTTATAAGTATTTCAGAATTTAGTTGAATCAGTAACTACTTCTCATTACACTTATTTTTATCTTTTTTTCCTAAATAATTTTGGAAGTTGTTAGCATCAGTTCATATTGTTAGAGAGGATCAATTTTCATGCAGAATATAAAGACACTCACAGTTGGTAGGACTAACCTGTCCTGTCATTTCAGGAGCAACAGAGAAGATGGGCCAGAAGGAAGAATAAACTGAGAAAAACAACATCCAGCTTATTATGCTTCCCCAAATTGCCACATGACTAAACTGCAGAAAGAAGAGAACCACAGAGGCATGAGTTTTTCTATTTAAAAGGAGGGAGGGTGGTAATTATATCAACTAACAAAATACATTTGTTCATCTCAGATGTTTTCATGAGAAAATATCAATAATCGTTCAATTACTTAAAATTTGGGGTTTTGTTTCTCACATTCTTTTCAGAATATTTTGCTGCAGAAACAAGGAATCACTGGTTAATGTATCTTAAACAATGGTACCCCAGTTACCTAAGCCAAGTGACATTCTGTGTCTTCAGTGAAAACGGCCAACTCTCAGTCCATACAAGTGATGGGTGACTTATTGAGGCTATCTGCTTTTGTCTATTTTTAATACAGAGCTTTTCCAGTAAAGGTAAAATATTTGAACAGAAATCAGGAAGAGATCTTTTAAAAATGACCAAATCATTCTTGTTCTGTACAAGTAGCTCTGAGACAATGACAGACATTGTGACACTGACTGAATGATGCACATTAGCCTAGTAGAGATAACTGGATGAAAGATCACTGCCAATGTCTGGGTCTGGGAACTTGTGCCAAATTCTATAATGGGCTCAAGTGCTCTCATCCTGTTAGGTAGTGCTTGTTGCTTAATTATGTTCAAACAACAAATGTAACAGTGGAAAAGACCAGTCTGCTGTTTCTCAGAGTGTTGGTTGCTATGTGTTTGTAAGTTATCTTCAAAATCAAGTTTTCACATTCTTTTAAAAGGTAACCTATTAGTCAAATGATTCCTCTCTCTGGTTAAAGTAAACAGAACTGGTCTCCAGAAAGGGTCTTCCTGTGATCATAAGGATGATTAAAGATGATTTCCACATAAAGATGGTGGAAAAGAGGATCAGGCGAAAACTGGGAACTTTGAAACTTAAAAACAGCAATGCAGGGGCTGGGGTTATGGCTCAGTGGTAGAGTGCTTGCCTAGCATGTGTGAGGCACTGGGTTTGATCCCGAGCACCGCATAAAGATAAATAAATAGAATGAAGGTATTGTATCCATCTACAACTAAAATAAATAAATACATACATACAACAATGCATCTTCATAATGGTTCCCTTGTAATTGACACAATGCATTAGTTGTAATGCTAGGCATTTCAGTATGGTTTAGTATGGGTTCCTGATGGGACTCGGGAGTGGTCGCAAGCCACCATGTTGCTCTTGAGAGGCATTTTGCTACTTCTCTGCCCTGCTTAGTTCTTGCACCTAAATGTGACTTCCAGTATCCTCCTCTTCCCCAACAAGAAGCCCCAGAACACCTACTCCATCATCTCCACAGGGTAGGCAACCAATGCCTTCTCTTCTTTTTTTCTTTACCACACTCCTTCTTAACCTCAATGGGAGGTAGAGAGCAGGAACATGGGGCAACACAGGCGACAAGAAAGGCCCCCCTTTTTTGCTACTTTTGCTATGGACTTTAAATAAACAAGTAAACAAAGAAATATTTATGAATAAAAAAAGTGAGATTCAGTATGTACAGACATAAGTGATCCTAAACCTAGAAAACATTCTTTATTGGAGAGGATTTGACAATTAGAATGAGAAATAGAAAATAATTGTTTCTATATTTACATAATGGTTAAGGTGGTATAATAACACGCATTTGTATGTTTTATGAGCTGCTAATGTAATATGTTTTTTCATAACCGAATGTCAAGATCCAGTTGGAAATACTGTTGTGGTCAGAACTCCAAATTGATTACATCAGAGAATATGTGATACACTACATCATCTTAGCTCTTAAAAGGTGACAAGCTAGCTGGGTACGGTGGCGCATGCCTGCAATCCCAGTGGTTCAAGAGACTGAGACGGGAGGATCATGAATTCAAAGTCAGTCTCAGCAATGGTGAGGCGCTAAGCAACTCAGTGAGACCCTGTCTCTAAATTTAAAAAAAATACAAAATAGGGCTAGGGATGTGGCTTGGTGGTCGAGTGCCCCTGAGTTTAATCCTTGGTACAAAAAAAAAAAGTTACAAGCTAATATAAATTCATTTCCTCTCAAAAAATCTTTGTTTGTTTATGTGGTTTTTTTTTCAGTACTGGGGACCAAACCCAGGGCCTGAGCATCTATGCAAGTGTTCTATGACTGAGTACATCTTCCAGCCCCTTCTGTAAATGTTTTGAGTATTAGTTGGAAAAGAACTCATTCATAGCTAGCAGATTAAATAGATGGGAAAATGTTAACTATTATTAAGTGAAAAAAGTAAATTACAAAACCTTAGCTACATTATAATCTTTTTTTAAAAATTTTTGATATTGGGAATTGAACCCAGGGGCACTTTACCAGTAACCTACACCCCAGTCCTTTTTCTTTTCTATTTTGAGAGAGGGTCTTACGAAGTTGACTAGGGTCTAAGTAGCCTGGGCTGGCCTCAAACTCCTTCCTCAGCTTCCTGAGTCTCTGGGATTACACATGTGCTCTGGCCTAGCTATTATTTTATTCTTGTTTTAAAAAGTTAACATACATAGAACAAAGACTGAAAGAATAGAAACCAAACTGTCAATAATAGCATTCACATTGAAAGGCATGGAAAATATGTATTTACTTAAATTTCTGTATTAGCTAAATTTTCTGTTTTAATCCTGAACTTGGATAATAATAGTAAATGAAGTATCTCAGTTATAGTATGCTAAATTGAATCTATTTCAAATGTAGAACAGGAAAACAAATATCCTAAAGACATTAGATGAATAATATGCCTTCATCCAGTTTAAATCATTATTTGAATATGCAAAATCAAATAGAGTATGGAGAACAAACAAAAGCTTATTATTTTTCTAAAGATTAAAAGTAAGTCAGCACATAGCAACAACAATGGATTTAGAAAAACTCCTGAAGTATACTTACTCTATTCCAAGATGTTGTCTCCAGCCCAGCTTTCAGACAAACAGTAACAACTACATACTGTGAGAGGTGAGATGGGAAGGCAAAGACAATAAAATAAAAAATGTAAAAAAAATTTCCATTAGAATTCATGTCTCCTGCTCCTTTCCTGACACCCCCCCCCCGTTCATCCTCACATCTGGTGGACTATAATGTCATTAAGTTGATAAACGTTCTCCTGGGTTTTAGCTCTAAGGAGGATGTAGTGTTTTCTAATACATGCACGTGTTTAGGAACTCTTTAGCATACGACTCAAATCAACACTTATGTTATAAGCTCTTATATTTACTTTTTTTTATAAATACCATGGAAGACTTGATTCTACCTAGAAATCTGAGTGCTATTAATAAAAAAAATACAGTTGAGCAGGGTAAATTGAAACCACTATAAATCAAAAGAGTATCTTCTGTGGATTTTTGTATTTACCTAAGAGTTGCTTTGTGTCATAAGATATTATCTATTTTAGAGAAGGAGCCATATGCTGCTGAGAAGAAAGTATATTTGCTCATTGATGGGTAAAATATTCTTTTTTATGTAAATTTTAAAATTTATATATGATAGAAGAATGCATTACAATTTTATTACATATATAGAGCATAATTTTTCATATCTATGGTTGTATACATAGCATATTCATACCAATTTATGTCTTCATACATGTAATTTGGATAATAATGATCATCACATTCCACCATCATTAATTACCCCATGCCCCCTCCCTTCCCCTCCAATCCCTCTGCCCTATCTAGAGTTCGTCTATTCCTCCCATGTTCCCGCTCCCTATCCCACTATGAATTAGCTTTCTTATATCAAAGAAAACATTCAGCATTTGGTTTTTTGGGATTGGCTAACTTCACTTAGCATTATCTTCTTTAACTCCAACCATTTACCTGCAAATGCCATGATTTTATTCTCTTTTATTGCTGAGTAATATTCCATTATGTATATATGCCACATTTTTTTTATCCATTCATCTATTGAAGGGCATCTAGGTTGGTTCCACAGCTATTGTGAATTGTGCTGCTATAAACATTGATGTGGTTGTGTCTCTGTAGTATGCTGTTTTTAAATCCTTTGGGTATAGACCGAGGAGAGGGACAGCTGGGTCAAATGGTGGTTCCATTCCTAATTTTCCAAGAAATCTCCATACTTATTTTCATATTGACTGCACCAATTTGCAGTCCCACCAGCAATGTATGAGTGTACCCTTTTCCCCACATCCTCACCAACACTTATTGTTGTTTGATGCATAATAGCTGCCATTCTGACTGGAGTGAGAGGAAATCTTAGAGTGATTTTAATTTGCTTTCTCTAATTGCTAGCAATGATGAACATTTTTTCTTGTATTTGTTAATTGATTGTACATCATCCTCTGAGAAGTGTCTGTTCAGGTCCTTGGCCCATTTATCGATTGGGTTATTTGTTTTTTTGGTGTTTAGCTTTTTGAGTTCTTTATATACCCTAGTGATTAGTGCTCTATCTGATGCGTGAGACATAAAGGATTGCTCCCAAGATATAGGCTCTTTATTCATCTCACAGATTGTTTCTTTTGTTGAGAAGAAGCTTTTTAGTTTGATTCCATCCCATTTATTAATTCTTGATTTTAATTCTTGTGCCACAGAAGTCTTGTTAAGGAAATTGGGGCCTAATCCCACATGATGGAGATTATGGCCTACTTTTTCTTCTCTTAGACGCAGGGTCTCTGGTTGATTCCTAAGTCCTTGATCCATTTTGAGTTTTGTGCATGGTGAGAGATAGGGGTTTAATTTCATTTTGTTGCATATGGATTTCCAGTTTTCCCAGCACCATTTTGTTGAAGAGGCTATCTTTTCTCCAATGCATGTTCTTGGCACCTTTGTCTAATATAAGATAATTGTATTTTTTGTGGGTTATTCTCTGTGTCCTATATTATGTACCATTGGTTTATCAAGTCTGTTTTGGTGCCAATACCATGCTGTTTTTGTTACTATTCCTCTGTAGTATAGTTTAAAGTCTGGTATAGTGATGCCACCTGATTCACTCTTCCTGCTAAGGATTGCTTTAGCTATTCTGAGTCTCTTATTTTTTCCAGATGAATTTCATGATTGCTTTTCTTATTTATATGAGGAATGCCATTGGGATTTTGATAGGAATTGCATTAAATCTGTATAGTGCTTTTGGAAGTATGGTCATTTTGATAATATTAATTTGTCCTATAAAAGAGCAAGGTAAATCTTTCCATCTTCTAAGGTCTTCTTTGATTTCTTTAGGGTTCTGTAATTTTCTTTATATAGATCTTTTACCTCTTTCATTAAGTTGATACCCAAGTATTTTAATTTTTTTGAGGCTATTGAGAATGGGGTAGTTTTCCTCATTTCCCTTTCTGAGGATTTGTCACTGGTATACAGAAATGCCTTTGATTTATGGGTGTTGATTTATATATCTTGCTACTTTGCTGAATTCATTTACTAGTTCTAGGAGTTTTCTGATGGAACTTTTAGGGTCTTCCAAGTATAGAATCATAGCTGATGGGTGAAATATTCTATATATGTCTGTTAGAACAGACACTTCACAGAAGAAGAAATACAATTGATCAACAAATATATGAAAAAGTGTTCAACATCTCTAGTAATTAGAGAGATGCAAATCAAATCTACTCTAAGATTTCATCTCATTCCAGTCAGAATGGCAATCATCAAGAATACAGGCAACAATAAATGTTGGCAAGGATGTAGGGGAAAAGGTACACTCATACATTGCTGATGGGAATGCAAATTGGTGCAACTGCTATGGAAAGTAGTATGGAGATTCCTCAGAAAACTTGGAGTGGAACCACCATTTGACCCAGCTGTCCCACTCCTTGATATATACCCAGAAGACTTAAAGTCAGCATACTATAGTGATGCGGCCACATCAATGTTTACAGCAGCTCAATTCACAATAGCTAAGCTATGGAACCAACCTAGGTTTCCCTCAATAGATGAATGGTATGTACGTATAGGTACACAATAACAAGAAAAAAAAATGACATCCCAATAGAACTAAATACAACAACAAGCAGTTCATGGAAAGAAAAAAAAGGAATTGATTTATAATCACACAAATATGATTGCTCTCAAAGCAAAAACTGCAATAGGCTATCATTTTTGGATGAAAAAGTGTGATAAGATCACTGCCCATGGGACTCAGGGAAATTGATGTTCTTATTACTAAATTCGTGTACTCTTTGGGGGAATATTTGGTAATGTCTTTCAAAATTCATGCTACCATCTGATATAGCAATTAAGCTCTTAGAAATTTATCCTACAGATATACTTACTTCTGGCACATACGAATAGTCTTTGCAGTATTGTTCATAATGTCAAAGGACCAAAAATAACAGTAATGTCCACTAATAGCAGACTAGCTAAATTGATAAGGGCAAGTTACTCATACAAGCAACCCTAAAAGGATGATGTAAATATTTATGGGTTGATTTGAAATCAGCAAGGCATGCTATATAGTGGGAAAAATGAGACATTGAGAAGCATTCCCTACTTATAAAAAAAAAGTAGGGAGGGAGGTAACATATATTTGTAATAAAGTTTATATTTCTAGAAATATATGTAAGCAACTGCTATAATAGTTTCTTCTTGGAAAAGACATTAGAGTGAGAGAATCTTAAAATTCATAGGATACTGCCTTATAACATTTGATAAAGTGATTTATTTGTTTTAATTTTAAATAAGTGATTTAATGCACAAGAGTAATCTTACCGTATAAATAAAATTTCCAAGAAATAAATAGTCTGTGGTGTAACCATGTCGCAAAATCATATCTGAAAAGTGAAAAAAAACATGTTTTAATCTTTATAGAGTCTGTAATATAGATTTTGAATTTATTTTTACCAAAGAAACCCATAGTGGACCCCCCAAAATATTCATTGATTATTGGTCATATTTCTAAATTGCTTTAAATGACAAAAATTTTGCATCTATTATCTGTGATAATTGTGACTTTTTCTTACTTTTTAGTCTCTCCAAGGATATATCAAGCAACAGATGGAAAAACAAAGCATAAGGAGTATGTGACTGTTGTTGTAAACCTAGCTTTATTTGCATTAAACCATCTGACAGAACCCATAAATTAAAAGTAAAAATATCCCATAAATGATGCTAGGTTATGAGAAATTGTAATAATTTTGTCATCATATTTTTAATACTATTTCCTTTTCTAAGGTTACTAAAATAACAAACAATAGACAATTTGAAATAATGATAGAATTTCCCAATTCTTTACAATTATTGCTATATCTGCTCTAAAACTTTATGAAAGCCCCAGACTATCTCAAGATTAGGATACTCTCTTCAGATCTTCTTGACATGTTTTAAAATTCTCTAATACATATTTGTGGTCTTTGGTTCATTACATTTGATATGTAAATTTTCAAGTGCCAACTCCTGACCTTTACACCAATTCAGATAGTATACTTATGTACTTAGGCTCATTTATTGTTGTTGTTTTATGTTTGTTTGTTTGTTTCTGAGTTATAATCCACTAAAATTTTCAAGGCTTATTCTTTTCCCTAAAACTACAGGCAATGAAACATTTAGGGAATCCAAATGAAGAAAAGTGGATAAGTATGTGGACCAAATTACAACCACCAGGAGAATGACAATCATGATTCTAGAATGTGCACTGACCTACACTTTGTGAGCTGGAGTGGGATGATAGTAGAGATGAGAACAATATAACTGAATAGAAAAGAGAAGATAGCTACTTCACAGGAACATAATATTGGATTATATTGTTTAGATATGCACTCATAAAGGGAATAGAAAAATTAGAAGCTACATTGGGAGGAAGAAAAACTTCCAGTATTCCAACATTCTGGTGTGAAGCAGAAATTACTTTCCTTCTGAATATTACACAAAATTAATAATGAAAACTGCTACAAAGTCAATGTCAGGGAAACAAGGAGACAAAAAAAATCCATAGACTCAGAAAACTAACAAAGGCTTCCAAGGAACTGAGGCCAGCACAGAAGCTGAGCTTGCTACATGTAGTAAGAACTCTCTGATGTGAATACCAACTCGGTCTAGAGCATCAGATCTCAAAAAACATCTGCAAAAATACACTTTTCTTCTCTCTGGGACAGAAACTTTAATCCCATGAAGAATTAAAAAAAAAAAAAGAAACAGACACAGTACCCATAAAATGACTATTTTATGAGTTTTGGTCATTCTTTATTATGCTATATATTTGTCCCTGATTATGAAATATGTTTTTAAATGAATTGAATCAAATGAGTGGAAAAGGACAGCAAAATTTATCACAGATGAAGAATGTTCACTAGGGATTTTTACATAAGACCCAGTTTACCCAGCCAAAAACCTAATGAATAATCAGAACAAAAAGACTTGTGTGCATTTGAAAGATTTAATATATCAAAATATATTTATATACATCTAATACGTTGAAGAAATAAGACTATAAAAGCAAAAACAAATGTGGTGTTAAAATGATTAGCTGTAATTATCACATGCCCATATGATAAGGAAATGATACCTGAATACATGAAGGTACTGGTGAAATAAATGGAAAACATCAAGTTTGCAGATGGTCTCATCAAGTCAACAAAAGACATTCAAAGCAAACAGAAAGTATTTAACTGGAAGCATACTTAAGAGCATGAAGGTATGTCATATGCAAGATAATGGGGTGCTGGAGGAACAGAAAGAGAGAAGGAAGAAAAAATGCAATAATTTTATCATTATTCATAGGAGGAAATGATTTCTCTAAAGAAATAGTCAATAAAAAATTGACTATAAGAACAAAAATTCAAACCTTTCTCAGTATCAGAAATCTATACAAATAAGCAAGGAAACCCAAAGAAATGATTAAAGATTAGAAAAATAAATTTAGGAAGGAAATGCAAAATCATAAGAACATCTCAGAAAAATCTATTTTTTAAAAAATGAATTTCAGATTGAATCTCAAATTAGATTTTATGCTGCAAGAACTACACCTTAAAAAAAGCAACTCATATAGTTGAAAAATGAAGGATGATCAAGGATGAGACATAATAGTAACTGTAACCTAGAAGAAATTGACACTAAAAAGACTTACACAAGACAAGGAAGGGTACCTTGTAAAGCCAAACATAAAAATTTCAATGAATATGAAATAGACTATTGGCATGACAAATAATATTTTAAAACATAAATTGAGAGCAAAAAGGAGAAACAAATATGATAGTAGTAGATTTTCACTCACCTTTCTCAGTTCATAATAGATAAAGTGACAACAAATAAATGAATAGGCAAAATATTTCTGGCTATAATCTATTAGAAAATTGGATTAAATATAAAATGACTACCTTCAGACATTAGGTAAGAGACCAAACAGAAAACTTTAATTCCTGAAGAAAGGGTAAAACATTAGATGAGCCTTGTCCCTACTCACACCTCGAGGCAGTTTCTAAACTACTGTGCAGGGAAAGAGATTCAACATTGTTTGCTGAATTAATGAGACACTGACAGGACGAAGTTGTTCAAATTTGCAGAATGGAACATGGGAATTATGGAAAGAATTATCTTAAGAAATTCCTATGGGGTCCTCATAAGCCCTTGATTGAATGCTAATCTGCAATGTGTGCCAAGAAGTCCCACAAGGCAGTAAAGAACAACTTCCATGGAAAAACAAATTACTACATAAGGGCAAGTTTTAAAAAATTCCAGATTTAATATAGGAATTGCTCAAATTCCTATAGGCTAAAGTGAAAAGAACTTTTTTGATAAGCATTCAGCAGAGACCCCAGAGGGAGTATATAACTTTAGTAGAGAAATTAAATTCATTTTAAAGGATTATTTGACTGAACTTCAAAAATATGAAAATAAGTATCAAAAGAGTAAAATTGAATCACAATAACTAAGTTATTGTGCTAAAACAAAGTCCAAGTATTTAAAAATAAAAATGAACTATTCAGCAACATATCATTTATAATGTTCAACATCCATTATAAAATTACAATGTGAATAAATGGGGGAAAATGATGAATAACCAGAAGAAAATTGGTACTAGAAACAATTCAGAAATAACAGAGATATTGGAAATAGCAGAGAAGTCTGTAGCTATTATAAATATTTTAAATATGCTCAAGGATTTGTAGGAAAATATGAACATGATAAGGAAAGAAATTAAAGACACGAACAAAATAAAATTTCTAGAGATGAAAATATTAACACTGATAAATCAGTAACACACAACTAAATAAAATATTAGTACACTTAAAAGCATAGAAAAACAAACTAAAAATGAACTTAAAAGAGAGAACAAAAATATTATAAATGGACACAGATGGGGAAAACATTAAGGGTCTGACATATGTGTAGTTAGAGTCATGGAAGAAGAAGAAACAGAGACAAAAGAAATGGTAAGGAAAATTTTTACACTTTGTTGAACACTATAAAACAATAGATGCAAAAACTTTGAGCAGGAAAATAGATAAACATAACTTAAACTTTATCATGTCATATCAAAACCAATTGCTGTGAATCAGTGATAAAGAAAATAAGTCTTAGGATCACAAAGACAACACACTACATAAAGAAGAATTATCATAGGCTTTTCAACAAAATAATGCAAACCACAAGTCAATGGTCTTTAAAGAAGTTGAAGAAAAGGAACTATCAACATAAAATTGCTTTTTCAAAAGGAAAATAAAATAGAGACTTTTTGGATAAATAAAATCTTAAAGAACATTCATTTGTTTTAAATTTCAAAAGAATAAATTTGCTTTAAAGCAAAGTTATTGTGCTAAAACTTTCTAGAAGAAAGCTAGAAAATGAAATATTTAATTTTCCAACTTTAAAAACTAATTTTTTCAGAAGCAAAGAAGTAGATATTTCCCAACTTAAGAAACAAGTATTATGCTAATTTGAAATCCAGATAAATTTTGAGTTTCTTTATATATTCCAGAGATTAATGTTCTATGTGAGGTGCTGGTGGCAAAGCTTTTCTCCCATTATGTAGGATCTCTCTTCACATTCCTGATTGTTTCCTTTGCTATGAAGAAGCTTTTTAGTTTGATACCATCCTATTTATTGATTGTTGATTTTACTTCTTGTGCTTTAGGAGACTTGTTGAGACTACCAGGCTAAGTGAAATGAGCCAATTCCAAAAAACCAAAAGCTGAATGTTCTTTTTGATATGCAGATGCCAATACATAATGCAGGGAGGGAATAGAAGTTCTGTAGATTAGACAAAGAGGAATGAAGGGAAGGGAGGGGAATGGGAATAGAAAAGACAGTAGAATGAACTGGACATAATTTTCCTATGTTCACATATGAATACATGACCAATGTAACTCCACATCATGTACAACGATGAGAACAGGATCCTACTAGAATAAGTTATACTTCATGTATGTACAGTATGTCAAAAAAACACTCTACTGTCATGTATGTCTAAAAAGAACAAATTTTAAAAATGTAAAAAACAAACAAAAATACAGATAAAGAATATTATAAGAAAGACCAATCAATACCCATCATGAACATAGAGGCAAAAATCCTTAGCAAATCAAATTTAGCATATATAAAAAAGATAATACATGATAAACAAGGGATTATTCAAGGATATGATGCTAGTTTATATTTTAAAATTAATGAATCCAATTCATCATAGTAGCAGAACAAAAAAGAAAAATGTTATCACCTTAATAGATGGATAAGAAAAAACATAAACCAAATCCAATTTATGGCTCAGTAGTAAAGCACTTGCCTGGCACGTGTAAGGCACTGGGTTCAATACTCAGCACCACATAAAAATAAAAAATAAAATAAAGATATTGTGTCCATCTACAAATATAAACAAACAAATAAATAAATATCTTCAACCAACTAGAACTGAAGAGAACTTTCTTATTGTAATAATGGGCATCTATGAAAAAAATCTAATATCTTAAATAATAGTAGAAAGATGCATTCTTTCCTCATAAGATTAGGAAGAATGTGAACATGTCCAAATTTACTGCTTCTGTTTAACATTGTCCTGGAGATCCCAGCCTGTGCCTTAATGAAAGAGAAATAAATAAAAGGCATATGTAATGAAAAGGGAAGAATTTGTCATAGATAAATTTACACCTGGTCCCTGAGATTATGTATGACACATTCAGGCAAAATGGATGAAGAAGGGACATGGAAACCTTGGTTGTCACTTCATATAGCTGCACAATGATGAGTGATATTTTGTACTTATGTAGTTTGCTTGTCCAATATGTAAAAAATACTTTAAACTAAATTTAAACATGTATGAAATCTTTCAGTGCCTAAACATTGTACCAGATAATTTGGGCAGCTACATAATTCATTCTCATAAATATCAAAGCAAATTTGCACACAGTTAATTTCAGTTGGTACCCACCTCATACACACCACCCAGTAAGCACAAATAACATTATTTATTCTTTATAGAGAATCTGAGGATGTTGTCTATGAGTGCATATGTGTTGTGGGATATTTTAAATGTTAGAAGACTAAAAATTTTAATGAATCTTAGGAGGAAAAACCAAAAATGAATATTCTAAGAATTAGTTTATCATATGCATTACATTTAACAACATAAATTCTGTAAACTACTGCATTGATAAAATCATGGTATTTATAATTCCAGATTTGGGTTTATTATTACACTACAATTCTTATATTTGAAGATAACCTATGATTTTTTAATAGATTCTATCTATGTTTTTAACAACTATACTGAACCTTCTTTTCTAGATATATTACAAAGGTGAGACAGCATTATTTTTTGCTCTTACTGCTTCTACTTTTGGATTCATAAAAAAAAAAGAAAGAAAGAAAAAGGAAAAAGTCACCCCCCAAGATGAATGCCAGGAAATTTTTCCATTTTCCCTTGTTTTCTTTTAGTAGCTTCACAGTTTGGGGGTCTTATATGTAAGTCTTTGATACATTTTGAGTTAATTTTGTAAATGAATGTGTAGATTTGAATTTTCACCTGGGTTTACTTGTTTAAAATTCCTTCAGTATTTCTTGAAAAGTAAACATTTTAGAAACAAAGGATATCATGTTTTGTTAATCTTGGAATTTTTTATTTCAACTTCACTTTTGAAAGATTGTTTTACTGGGCTTAAGATTCTTCATTAATAGTTTTTGTTTTCTTTCTCAGCACTTTAGTTTTTCACTACCTTCTGGCTTCCATTTTTCTGGTAAGAACTTTGCTATTGATCTTCCTGACTCAAATATTTACTAGAAATTAACAATAAATGGTCTTTCATGTCATCATCTTTTTTTTTTCAAAATTGTATCATTGTGTTTGGCTCTCAACATTTTTACTACAATGTGTGTATGTGAATGTTTTTACATATAATTGGAGTTCATTGATTTTCTGATGTCTAGTTAATGTTTTCAACTAATTTGGTGACTTTTCAGCTATAATTTTCTTGAAGATTTATTTTGCTCCATTATTTTTCTCCTCTTGTTCTGGTCCTCCTATTATATACATTTTTTTAAGATTTACCACATTTTTTTGAGCCTCTGTGCAACTTTTTTTATTCTATTTTTTTCTCTGTTCTTCAGAGTACATATTCTATATTTATATAACCTCAAGTTCACTAATTCTTTTTCCAGCTCAAATATACTATTGAGTTCTGCTAAAAAAAGGGGGGGGGCTCCATTTTGGTATTGTACTTTTCCTTTAGTTCTTTATTATAATTTTGATTTTCGTTCCAATAATCTCTATTTAATGAGCCATTGTCTTCATATCTTTCATCATGGTTTCTTAAACATATTTATAACGATTGCTTTGAACTCTTTGTTTAATCTGAAATCTGGGTCTTCTTATAGAGTAGCCTCTCTTTCTTACCTGTTTTCCTGTATATGAGTCACATTTTCCTCATTATTTGAATGTTGTTGTTGAAATGGGATGTTTTATATAACATATTACAGCAAAGTTGGATACTGATTCCCTTCCTTCCTTTTTTGGGGGGAGTGGGGGTGGGACAAGGGATTGATCCCAGGGGTGCTTGACCACTGATCCTCTTCCCCAGCCCTTTTTATTTTTTAAGACAGGGTCTCACTGAGTTACTTAGGGCCTAATTTGCTGAGGCTGGCTTTGAACTTGTGATCCTCCTACCTCAGTCTTGTGAGCCGCTAGGAATACAGGCATTCGACACCTCGCCCGGCCCTTCTCTCCTTTTTAAGGTTTGTGCTTGTTGTTGATGCTTATTTCTTGTGAGACTTGGCTAGGCCACTTTAGTGAAGTTTATTTCTCCCCACAGTGTAAAACCTTGGTGTTCTCCTCAGAAGGCACAGCCTTGGGTAAAATTACAGACACTTAGGATAGCAGTGGTTTAAGCTTGAGCTTTCCTTGAGTTTAACCCTGGGCTGTCTTTTCCCCTAACTTCTCTGTCAAGTTATCTCATTCATTTGATGCTAAACCAGGTATTTGGCTCCACAAATTGCTGGAAATTTTCTCTATTATTTTCAACTAGGTCCTGAGACAAAAATTTCTCAGTATCCTGCTCCAGTTAAATTCAGGCAGGAAGAGTTTGTTCTCCCCTTACAAGGGATCTTGTGAACTCCTTCCCTGGTTCTCTGATAAATTCACTAGCCTGTAATTTATCTTGGTGCTGTTCCTTAAGAGGAGCTATTATTTTTGAGAGCATACATGTACTTGAAATTCTATATTCTGTTTCAAATAAAGTCACTTGTTGTGGAGAGGAGGGCTGAAGAGGACAAGAAATTCTGGTGGTCCGCGTCTCCTGGTGAGATATGGTAACCTTGATTGAGAGGCAAAGTGAAAACCCCATGTCCTTGACCATGTGTTTGACATGGAGCTTCCATCGAGCTAAGCTCTGAGGTGGGGAGGAACTAGGTCATGATTCAAATGATAAAAACTCTTGTTCTCACCAAGTTAAAATAAACTTTCTTGAATAGACATGTCTTCATTGGTTTTTAGGACAATTTACAGAGAATCTATAGGCTTTTCTTCTTCGCAGCCAGCTTTGCTTGTGGGGGTCTTCACATAATCATCCTGTGGATGACGTCAGTGGAACTGAGTCTTCATAAACTTCACGAAATTTTGACTTTATTGTTGTTATTGCCTGGTTTTGCTTAATTTTACAATGAGCAATATAATGCAGATTCAGACAGCTTTTAAATTTAAATATATCCAAGCCAAAGAACATGTTGCTAGAAATATCCAATAAAAAGTAAGTCTGGTTATGTAAAGTAATAACATTTCAAACCTTAATTTAAGGTATGTGATCTCACTGAACACCAAAAACATACTTCATAAATATATCTCCTAGTTTTGGGATGTCTTAGACCTAAGCAAGTTCGGAGAAAAATTTCACAGATAAAGTTACTTGGAATATCATATGGTAGGAAAAAGAGACTTGATCAAATAATAAGGTATAAGTTTAAGTTTCAATACAATCTTACCAGACTTGTATTACTAAGTTGAAGCATAAAGTTTTGTGAATGATAGTATACATAAATTCAAACTTACAAGAGCCATCTTTGATTCATTAGAAATGTCTTGTTTTCCATCAGACTTCCTGACTCAAATATTTACTAGAAATTAACAATAAATGGTCTGGAACTCAATTTATACATGTCAAAACAAAGAGAATGGGTTCTAAAGGTCAGTTGTTAAATGTTCAAACTGTAATCTATTAGCCAAAGGAATGTCTAATACTAGATTTAGGTGAGTTTTTTTTTTTTTTTCTGAATTCTATTTTTGTGTCCTCCAGTTCTTTCTATGGATATACACATCACATGAAAACATTAATTTCAGCAAGAGTTACAGACTCTGCTGAATATTTGAAATAATGAAGCTATTACCATGCTCCAGCATTTTTGTGGGAAACCAGAAGAGAATGAAGGAGTGGATCAAAGCATTTATACATTGAATCCAAAACACCTAAAAGAAAACAAAGCAAGAAAGTCAAGATGGTAACCCTCATCGTTATACAAAATTACATATAAGAGGAGGTGAAGGGAAAGGGGGAAAAAAAAACAAGGGAGAGAAATGAAGTACAGAAGATGGGGTAGAGAGAGAAGATGGGAGGAGAGGGGAGGGGAGGGGAGGGGGGATAGTAGAGGATAGGAAGGACAGCAGAATACAACAGACACTAGTATGGCAGTATGTAAAAACGTGGATGTGTAACTGATGTGATTCTGCAATCTGTATACGGGGGGAAAAATGTGAGTTCATAACCCACTTGAATCAAATGTATGAAATATGATATGTCAAGAGCTATGTAATGTTTTGAACAACTAATAAAAAAAAGATGGTAGTTTGGTCTAAATCTAAAAATATATGACATTGTGAAGTATATTTGCTCTGTATAATACAGTCATAAAGCTGAAAAATTTTTCTGTAAATTGAAAAATGTATTATTTATTTATTTATTTTTAAAAGAAATAATTTCAAAATTATAGGAACATTATCTGATATGTTATGTAAAATTATAGAATAATATAAATTAAAATTATAGGATATTATTGAAATCATTTAAGATTTAGGATATCATTATTATTATATTACACATTATTCTATTAAAATCTATTAGATAAAAATATATAAAATAAAATATATTTGTCACAAAAATTACGAAGGTTTATTATACCCAATGAAACAAAACCAAAAGTAATTTTCAAAAGAAAAAAATTTTGCTCAGTTTTAAAGTTTTGAGTTTAAATGTAATTTGAAACTAAACATGATATACTCTGATCTTTTACATCTATACTCTGACCCTCATCAAAATAATTTTTAACACACCATGTACAAGTTTCTTAAAGGAAATCTCAATAATACTGAATCTCTGGGTTCCATCAAACAAGGGTACACATTAGTTAAATGATAAAAAATGTATATTGTTCTTCCAATTTTAAATATACCAATTATTTTTATACTTGCCAGGAAGTATTAAAAATAAGAACCAGAAAACATTTTCTGGAAGAGATTGGATTATCGTAGGGTTTGGAACTGTGTCATCTGTGTTGCACCCACTCAGTCACCTCTGTCACACATGATATGTAATTGAGTAGGCATGGCTATGTACCAATGAAACTTATAAAACCAGGTAGGGGACTGGATTTGGCCCATAGGTGATGGTCTTAACACACAGATCCAAGAAGCTCAATAAACTTCCATAATTCTGAGAAGCACAATAAACATGAGGAAATATGATAAAATGCTTATATCCAATAATAAAGAAAAAAATTTTAAAACCAAAAAGAGAAGAAAGACACATTTTACATAAGGATGAAGATGACAGCAATTTCACATCAAAACAATGCAAACAAGAAAAAAATGAAAAATATTGAAAGAAAACTATCAATCTCAAATTTTAAAGAAATAAAACCATTAACCAAGTGCTATAGTTTGAATACTGGTAGTGTATCCCAAAGGTCCTTGATCTCAGGGGTGGCTTTACTGGGAAGTACTGTGGACTTTTAGGAGGTAGACTTTGTGGGAAGTCTTTAGGTCATTGTAAGGAGCATGCCCTTGAAGGGGGTGGTTGTAGGACCCTGTACCATTCTCTCTCCTTCTCTCTGCTTCCTGGCTCAAGATGTAAGCACTGTGCTCTGACATGTGCTTCCTGTCATTGTCATCCAGTTGCTATAGCAGTGCCTAAAGCTTTGGTGTACTCAATCTTGGACCTGGAACCTTCAGAATCATAAACTAAATACATATTTCATCTTTATAATTTCCTCAGGTATTATATTATATTATTATAGTAACACAAAGTTAATAGACCAAATAAAAACAACTTCAAACATGAATTGAAGGAAGGATTTTTCATACATACAAAAGCTGAGTTAAGGGGCTGGGGTTATCACTCAGTGGTAGAGCGTTTGCCCAGCATATGTGAGTCACTGGGTTCGATCCTCAGCACCACATGAAAATAAATAAATAAAAGTATTGTGTCCATCTACAACTAAAAATAACTAACAAGCAAAAAGCTGAGTTATTGTCAATAGATTTGCTCTACAAGAAATGTTAAAAGCAAGTCTTCAGACAGAAAGAAAATCATAACAGATAATATGATTCTACACAAAAGACAGAAAATCACTGAAAATGATAATTGCCTGGGTAAGATAAGAGATTTTTCTATTTAAATTTTTAAAAATAATGATCGTTTAAGCAAGATATGAATAATATCATAAAGAACTTATAAAAATAAGTAAAATTAACATGTATGTGAAGAATATTCCAAAACTTAGGAGGAAAGAGATGAAAATATACTATTTTTTAATAATATATGTGAAGTAGTATATCACTTCAAAGTAAATTATAACCTAATAACAAATATTATACATTCAAATGGAACTTCTAAAATAAGAAAACAAATATTTATAACAAATAAGTGAACAAAGAAAATAAAATAGGACTCATGAAAATTAATTAATCCAGAAGAAGACAGGAAAAGAAGAATGAAAAAATCATACGTAAGACAAAATAGAAAATGGCAAGATGGTGGGCTTGAACCTAATCAAATAAAAATGTACATTCAATATAAATGATCTAAACATCCAGTTAAAAGGCACACATCAGTTTGGATAATAAAGCAAGTTTTTAAGCTCTCTCCAATAAACATTGAAATATAAATAAACAACAATATAAAAAGTAAAAGAAGTTGAAATAATTATATTGCTAGCAACATGGATTTTAGGGCAAAGAATACTATCAGAAATAATAAGTCATTTCATAAAGACAAAGGGGTCTTTCAAGAGAATATGATAGCCTCCAACAGGATTATGCCTAACATCAGCTTCAAAATACATACAACTACTAGAACTTCAAAGGGAAATAGATAAATCTACAATATGGTTGGAGATTTTAATACCTCTCAATAGAACAAGTGGACAGAAAGACATTATATACTTTACCTCATCAATTCATTTTTTAAGAGAAGATGAAAGATAAGACTATTTTGAGCCAAAACCAAGTCTTATATGCTTTGGCTCAAAGTAGCCAAACTCTCACCTTTTTTTAAAGGCTTATACTAGGTTCTAGGTTTTTGGTTTTTTAGCTTCACTAATTATTGAGATGTACAGTTATGTTTACTCAAAATTGATAAAAGTGTGTGACATTCCTCTTGCAGCCTAGAAACATCCCTTTAACACCCCTCCCACTCCCACTTCCCCACACTGAATCTCAACTTCTATGATCCCAGGAAGTGATCTCTTGGAGTCACCAGGTCCTCTTCCATCCTTTCCATCACTCAGCATGCCTCCTGAACGTGGTGCAAAATCTGTGAGACCACACACATGGTACCTTGCTTGTTTTTCACATGACTTTCTTTTTTGTTTCTGTTTTCCATTTCTCATTTACTGTTATTTCTATTGTTTCAAAGTTAGCTCTCTAAACTAGCAGGAAGATGACACCAAATGCAACATTCTTGTGTTTTAAATAATTTTCCCCCTAAAGCATCAGAAAGGGAAGAGGATCAAAGGTATGTTTGGAGTCAGGTTGAGATGGAAAACCTGTAATAAATTTTTCTTTACCTTTGTGTTGAACATTTCCCCTGTCTGAAAAACTGTGTAGAGTTGTGGATACTCCAGGAGGCTCTTTTGACTGCAACATTTCTCAAAGATTCCCAGAGTTAAAGGTGGTAATGAAGTGAAAATCTACATAGATAATAAGGATTTGTTAAAAATAACTTTTAGTCTATAAGTGAGTTTATCAATATCAACATCTTTGCTTTGACAATATGTTTTATGATTATTAAGATTTCATCTTGGGGGAAGCTGGGTGAATGATATACAGAACTTTCAACTATTGTGCAACTTTTGATATGTCTTAAATTGCATAAAAAGAAGTTATTTACAAAGGAGCTATTATTGAGTCACATAAATTCAAATGGGTCTATCAAAAACTATGACATAATTTTTCAGATTGATTCAATGCTTTGATTCAATACATTATAATTAGGCACACTGTGCTTTATGCACACAAAATTTACACATTTTGCCATGTTTATGAGAATAAAATGAATGAATCAAGTATCTAGCTATTTAAATAACAGCCAAAATGGCTACAAAAATCTAGTAATAATGTCATCTAACTCCTACATGAGAACTAGCTATTCACTACCAGGACTTTGCAAATAGATTGGACTAAACAAAAAATAATTTTACAAGAATTCTTTATCTTGATTGTTATCAGAAATAAAAAGAGGTTTCCCATCATTTTATCTTTGAATATTTGCTATTATTCTAGGAACTATATTAAATTAAATAGAAAGCATTATATTATATGGAAAGTGGGGAAGGAGAGAGAGAAAAGGGAGTAAAGAGGACAAAAATGAGAGAAGGAAAGAAAAATGTGTTAAAAAAATGGAAGTACATGAGCCATATTCACTCTCTGGTTTTTGTTTTTGGTACTGGAGATTGACTCCAGGGGTGCTCTACCACTGAGTGACAGGCCTAGTCCTTTTTTATGTTTATTTTGAGACAGGGTCTTGCTAAATTGCTGAGGCTGGTCTTGAATTTGCAATCTTCCTGCCTTGGCCTCCTGAAGTCCCTGGGATTACAGGCAGGGCCTCTGCACCTAGTTGAACTATGTTTTTTAAATTCTTGTTTTCTGTAATACCTTTCTGGTTTTGGCAGCAAGGTAAAGCTACATCATAAGTGAGTTGGGTTGTTTCCTCCTCTTTTCTGGAAAACTTTTGTCTAAATTTGTTAATATTTCTGGAATTATTTTTGTTTAAATAGGAAGATTTTTAACTTCAAAAATTTTCACAGGCATGGATCATTTTGTTCTTCAGTGATATTTAGTAGTTTGCATCCTTGAAGGAATTTATCCAGTGGGTTGGGGCTATAGTTCAGTTGGTAGGGTGTTTGCCTTTGATCTCTAGCACCAAAAATAAAGGGGGGGGGGAGTTTATCCATTTAATCAAGAAATGTGTTAATTTCACCTAGTACGTCATAATAATTTGTTAAAATATTTGCTTACTTTGTATTTATTATCTGTAGAGTCTATAGTAAAAACTCTTCTTTCGTATGTGTTACTGTTAATTGGTATCTTTTTTTTATTTATTTTATTTTTATTTGATTCATTTGGTCAGTTTGTCTAGGGATTTATCAGTCTTAATGACCTTTTCTAGCAGTCAGTTTGGTTTTCTGTCTTGTTTGTCTGCCTTATTTTTATTTGACTCAGGCATTTTCTTTGTTACTTATTTTGCTGTGCTTATTTTGGGCTTCATTTATTCTTCTTTTTCTAGTTTCTTTAGGATGATTCTTGGTTCACTGATTTTAGGCCCTTGTTTTCAATATAAGCTTTTAAAAATGTATATACTCCTCTATGCATTCATTGCTTTAGCAATATCTTGTACAAATTGAAAATCTGTGTGTTCTTTTTTTTTCTGTTTAAAATATCTTCTAATTTCTCCAGTGATTTCTTCTGTGATCTATGGTGCATTTAGAAGGGTGTTCTTTAATTTTTTAGGTATATGGTTATTTTATAATATATTGCTGCTTTTGATTTCTACTTTAAATCCATTGTGGTCAAAGAACATATTAACTCTTATTGCCCAGTATGTGATTTATTTGGTGAATCTTTCACCAAAGTAATTCACTATGTTAACAGATTCAAAAGGAAGAAGCACACAGTTATTCCACTAGGTGAACAATGTGAAAGAGCTTCCTCAAAAATACTGCAGCTGATGTATTTTAATGGTAAAATGATAATGAAAGTGTGCCCTTAAGATCAGAAGCAAAATAAGAGTGTGTGATATTACCTCTTGGAAAAAAATACAGATTCTGCTATTGTGGTTGGGTGTTTTCTATAAATGTCAATTTGGTCAAGTTAGTTATAATATTGTTCAAAACCTCTGTGCACTTTCTGAAGTTTTATATATAGTTTCTATCAATTAAAAAAGGAGTTTTAAATCTCCAACTGTATGTGTGAATTTATTTAATTTTCTATTTAATTATATCAGTTCCTTAATTTCTAGTAAGTTGCTAATATGCTACTTTAATAGTGATTACATATTTAGAATTATTTTAATCCTTTTGTCATTAAGAAATGTGCATCTTTATCATTAGACCATTTCTTGTTCTATAGTCTGCTATTCTATAATTTCTACAGCTACTCTAGTTATTATAGTTTGGATATGAAGTGTCCCCCAGAGACCCATGTGTTTTCCAATGTAAGAGTGAGTGGATTTCCAATGGGAAGTGAGTGGATCATGAGTGCTCTGACCACATTGGTGAGTTAATCCATTCATAGCTGAATGGACTCTTAGGAGGTAGTAGAAATTGTGGAAAGGGACCTGGTTGAAGGGAGTGGGTCCTTGGGGCATGCCCTTGGGGACTACATCCTGACCCTTGCCTCTTCTCCCACCGCTCTCTGCTTCCTGGCTGCCATGAGCTAAGCAGCTGCTCTTGTTTGCTATGTCTTTCTATAATGATGTTCTGCTTAATCTCAGGTCCAAAGTGCTGGAGCATGACCATGAGCCAATATCAATTTTTCCTCCTTTAAGTTGTTTATTCCAGATATTTTGGTCATAGACGGACGACTAATGTACCAGCTTTCTTTTATTAGTATTTACATGGTAAAATTTTTTTTTTCAATTTTTCCCTTTTGTGTCTTTATGTTTGAAGGTTTCTTGTAGAAATCATATAGTTTTGTATTAATTTTAAATCCAATATGACAGTCTGCTTTTTAATTAGCATGTTTAGGCCACTTGTGATTATAAATATGTTGGATTTTAAATCTATTTGTTTTGTGTTTGTTGCATTCATTCTTTTACCTCATTTCCTGAATTCTTCTTCATTAATCATTTTTAATTTTTATCTCCATTACAGTCTTATTATCTATACCTTTTATTAGGTATCCATTAAGGTTTACATTATACATGAGGAATATATCACAAAATTCAAATACTATTGTACTTTAACTTCTCACTTGTTCACTTTGCTATACTTGTCATGTATTTTAACTCTATATAATTGATAAGCTCTAAATTATTACTTGGGTTTTAAACAAACCATTTAATCAATTAAAGAGATTGAGAGTACCAAAATTTCCCACATTTCCCACCATAATCAATATTTTCTGATGCACTTCAATTCTTTGTAGAAATCCAAATTTTTGTATATTTTTCCTCTTGCTTAAATAACTTAATATTTAAGGCATACAGGGTCTTCTGGTGATGAATTCCCTATTTTCTGAGTGTGTATAGATTTTAATTTCACCTTAATTTTCTAAAGACATTTTTGCTGGGTATAGAATTCTAGATTAATATAGATTAATCAGAACTTTAAAGTTATTCTATTGTTTTATGCATAGTCTATGAGGTTGCTAATGTGAGATCTGCTTTTATTTTACATTTGTACTCTATATGTAGTGTTTGTTTTTTATCTGGCTGCTTTTTATAATATTCTTGCAGTCACTGGTTTTCAGCAATTTGATTGTGAAGAACATACATGTGCTTTTTGTTTAGGCTTATTCTTTGTGAAATTTGTTGATATTCTTACATCTCTGTGTTTATAATGTTCACAAAATTATGACATGTTCAACCAATATTTCTTGAAACATTTTTCTGCACCCTCTTTTGAAGCTCTAAATATAGGAAGGTCAAGAGTTCCTGACATTCTTCCTGAGCACAATATGTTTCTGATCACATTTTTTCCATATCTTTTACTCTGTCCTTCCTATTGACATGTCTTCATATTTATTGATCATGTTCTGAGGTTTGTAATCTAATATTAATTTTTCCATATATATTTTTTCATTTTAGATAGTGTATCTTTCATCTCATGAAATTCTATTTGGTTCTTTTCTATATCTTTTATCTTTCTCATTATATTCATGTTTTCCTTTATATCCTTGAACATGTTTATAAAATTTATAGTAATTGTTTTAAGGTTTCTGCCTACTAATTCCACTTCTGAATTAGTCTTTATTGATGTATTTTTCACCTAATTATTGAATGCTGAATATTACAAACATGTTGTTGGGAGCTGAAGTGCTGGTGTTGACTGTCATCTAAATACTGTGTCTGTGTTCTTTTTCTTCTGGTTGTTGTTTGTTGAGAGCCACAGCCAAAGGGGCCCCAGCAAACTTCCAGCTGCCAGCAAACTTCCAGCTGCTGGCTGATGATTGGCTCACAGCGGCCCCAGCAACATCTAGCTGATTGGCTCCTCGGCCCCAGCAACATCTAGCTGATTGGCTCCTCTGCGGTGATGCTCATTGGACTGTTTCCCTGCCCTTTCAGACCACGGAGCTGCTCACTGGGGGACTTTTTTGGCTCCGCCCACGTGACCCAGCCAATCGGCCTCAAGAGCAGGAGGATGGTGGGAGTTGGAGAGAAGCTTGTGGGAGAGAGAGAGGCTTGTGGAAAGCCGGTGGTGGCAGTTGAGGCTCTGAGGGTTTTTCCTGAGAGGCTGTTTTGTTTGGCGTGTGTGGTTCTAAAAATAAAGTTAGTTTCTTTTGACAAGTGGCTCCTGATTGTGCCCAGCCAGACTGCGGCAGTTGTTGTTGTTGTTGTTGTTGTTTGGTTGTTATTTAAACCAGGAATTAAACCCAGAGGTGCTTAACTACTAAGCATCATCCACAGCTCTTTTTTATTATATATTTATTTTGAGACGTTGTCTCACTAAATTGGTTAGGGCCTCATTAAATTGCTGAGATTGGCCTTAAACTTGCTATCCTCTAGCCTCGGCCTCTTGAGGCACTGGGATTATAGTTACATGTCACCACCCCCAGCTCTTTTGCCTGTGTTCTGAAATATAGGGGACTGATTATATGTTGTAAAATATGTAAGTTTTGTAATTGTAGGTTCAGAATAATTTCTATAATAGGACGAATTCACCCTTAGGATTCAAAGTGGCCTGTATGAGGAATTTACCGAAGATCCTTTGTAAAAGGAGGTCTTCCCATTCTGGCTGATAAGAATACAGATTATTCCCAGCCCTGAATGAGCTCCAAGAACTATTTTGGCCTTTCTGGTAGTTCTTTCCCCAACTTTGCATAGACTTTTTTCAGTGCATGTATGAACCAGTCCTACACCGAAGGGGATCCTCTGCGGTTCTTCAGACACATTCTCTCTTCTCTCTCTCTCTCTCTAGTTTTCTTTTTCTTTTTTTTAATTGTCAATGGATCTTTTTATTTATTCATTTATATGTGGTGCTGAGGATCCAACCGAGGGTCTTGCACATGCCAGGCTCTACCACTGGGCAACAACCCCAGCCCCTCTAGTTTTCTTTTTTCTGTCATTCTACCAGGCAAATCTTAGCTACCTTGGCCTGCTGAACTTCAACCTTTGTGTCTTCATTCAGGAGGACACCTGGACTTTCTTTTCTTTCATTTTGCTTTGGATTTGTCTTCCTTCACTGTGGCTGGGAAGTAAGACTTCTCCCAGAGACGACACCATCAGTCAGCCTGTTGCCCAAAGTCTGAAAATTTTGTTTTATACATTTTATCTGATATGCTAATTTTTTGTTTGTTTTAATTTTTCTGATAATAGATAGTTCTTGTAATAGTTGGTCATACATGGGTAGAAGTAATACATGACCTCTAGAAATAGTATGACAATTGATGTAATTATAAAATAAGAAAACAGAGTCTATCTCTGGCACTGTGGTCTTGAGCTTTGTTTTTATCCTATCTGTAAAGTGAATGTGAATTGGGATGAGACTTAGGAAGTCAATGGATATTCATGTCATCCACTTACTGCTTGATAAAACCAAATTAATAAACAAAAAATTACATCTATGTTTCCTATTATAAAAATATAAGATTCCATTGATCAGTATCAGAGGCTTGTACACTGATAGTGATTTTTCTAGGAAAGAGGAGAGATTCTGTCACTCTCTTCACCACTATGGAACCTTTAAAGAAGGTTGATTAATATTATCCTCTGTAATCAAGAGTCTAATAAAGACAACTGTGTGTATAGCCTCATTGCTGCTGTACTCTTGCCAAATCCATCTATCTATGAGCATCAACACAAATTAATTATTCACAGAGCTAGACTTTTTTATATTATTGGACAGTCAATGTCTTCTGTCCAGTGACATCTGCCTGTGCTGTTTCTGAATTCAAGCTCCTAGAAGACAGAATTTCAGAGGTTATAGCACATAATACACAGTGATTGCTATAATTCCATACAAGAGAGGCATCATGTTATACTTGCTGGAAACCTAATTTCTAATCCTCAAAGTCTTACGATGAAATAACAATACAAAAAGAAAAAAGGGAAAAGGTAATGTAGCTACTTTTGACTTCCAAATGATTTAAGTGACTCAAAGGATTCTTTTTTAAATTTTAGAAAATTTGATTATAACAGAAAATATATACTATAAAACAAGATAAAATTTATTATTTAGTACAAACACGTGATTTATTTTTCATATCAGTTTTTAACCAGTTTGTTTAAAAGGACATGGAATTACAATATAAACATGCACATACACACAAATGCAAATGTAGGTAAACCTAAACTTTATGCATTAAATGGAATGGGTATAGATAAAGTTTAGTAATTTTCACTTGGCTTAAAAGCATGAAAACTTTGCTTAGGTATAGAGTAAAAAAGTTGCATATATTTTATGTAATAATAACACATTTGGTACACATTTCACATACTTACTCTAAAATGATCTGCCGTGATTGAAAGCACATGTGAAGAGTTTGAACTTCTGTATGATTTGTCATGGTAATGAAGGCCCTAAAGATATATTTGTCCTGAGTGCTAAGTACCCAGATGACTGACTTAGAAATTCTTGAAGTTATGCATGCTATCAGAGAGAGGAAGAGGATGCTTACCACATTGTACAAGCTGATGCACCAATGCTCAAATATAATCTGCCCAGAGAATCCATTAACAAAGGAGAACCAAAGCTGGAAGAGAGGGAAGCTAAATGAAGCATTTCATCAATGTTGACCTAAATATATCCATATATTGAAAAGAAGTGATACAGAAGAGGGACACTTTCTCTGGCACAGCTGCTAGAGGACAATCACTTAGGGGACCATACAGATGTCCTTTCATAAACTATGAATTGTAAACACCAATCCTTAATGATGTTAAAAATATTGATGTATTTGGTAACTAATGGCATACATCTTTATACTAAAATACAAACTTCTTGCAAAAGTCCAGATTTTTATTACAGAAAATCTTAAATCAAGTAACAAAGTTTACTATGTAACAAGTAATAAATTTTATGCCTTCTATGTGAATAGTTACAAAAAATATACTCTGTAAATCTTAGTATGTCAATAGTAATAACAAGAATACATGGGATTTTAATAAAGCAAACATTGTGATGTTACTTCAAATGCATAGTCATATTTAATCCTCATAGCAATACTGTAAAGTTGTTGTTGTTATTATTATTATTATTGTCAATTTAAGAATTTTGAAAAGTGAGGTTAGGGAGATTAGATTGTTTACTCAGGTTACACAGCTAGTAAGTGGCAAAGATGGGACTGAAATGCAGATCCATATAACTCATGCTCATTCTCTTAAAAGCAACATTAGGGGTGATTTGTTAAAATGTATCAGGAGTCTTAAGACTATATAATTACCATCATACATTAGAAAAAATTCTTCTTTGGTCACATTTCTTCGTTTGATTTAATAAAAACAAAGCCCAATTTCCTCTTTTCAATGATAAGAGGTGGTCTTTACATTCATGGAATTTATTTTATTATTGACTGACAAAATAATTGTACATATTTATGGAGTACAATGTGATGTTCTGATACAGGTATACACTGTAAAATTAACAAAACAAGTTTGTTTTTTTTTTTCCCTCAAGATGGAGGTCACTTTCTTGGCTTCTTTGTGACATGAAAAAAAAGGGGTGGGGGGACTTTACCAGGATTTAATACTAGACATTCAAAGCAGATCAGGGACTCAGGAGGTTGGATAAAATAAAATAAGGAAGAAATCCCCAGCACCACAGCTGCTTCTATAGTTGGAGGCATGAGCCAAAGAAGTCCCTCCATGAGCAAAGTGGAGGGATAAGGGAATTAAAGGAACCTGCATTTTTAGGAGGGCTGTGGGGTGTGCAAGTACAGAGATCAAAGACACTGACCAACTAAACTGAAAGATGTGCTGCACAATATCCTTGTGCAGGAAAGAAGCCATGCCTCTCCAGGCTGCCGCAGAGGACAGAGTCAGAAACCATTTTGCAGTCACAGCTCAGGGGCTGGCATCTAGGGGAGCCAATTCCTGGCAAACATGAGTATGGCCCAAAATACAGGCCCGGAAAACTCACACTGCAAGACATGGAGTGGGCCCAAGTGACCAGGAGAAAATCAAACGTGGAGAGGGGTTTACACAGGGATTACACAGGAATACAGATTGTATAGATCCCCCTGTTCCCCCCACCCACCCCACTCATCCCCACCCCACCTCCAATCCAGCCACTTGTAGGACCAGTTGGAAGAGACATATCTGGCTGGGAATTCAAAAGCGGGTGGGGCAGAAGAGTTTGGAGGCTTAACTCAAGACCAGGAAAGGGGAGGGGTTCCTGCAGGGGATGAGGGAGACTAAGAATTGCCTCTACTACTGCAGGAATAGAACCCAGAGGGGAATCGCTGGGGTGCACTCTTCCAGGATGGACTGGCAAATGCTGGGCCCTGGAGGTGAGCTGATTTAAAATTTTCAGACCAATCACCATTCAACAAAAACCCTGGAGCCTACCTAAGCCTAAACCCTACCTCTAGGAGCACCACCTAGGGATTTCCTCTCAAACTCTAGCAACCCCACCCTGAGGGTTTAGCAAGCATCACACTCCAGCCCACCTAACCTAATACTGCTGAGAAGGGAAGCTGAGAATCTTTTTAACTCCAGTAGAAACAATTCTTTTTCATTGAGTTTTTTTTTTTCATTTTTATTTATTCTTTTTTTCTCTGTTTAATTGTTACCTGAATGGTTCAGGGACAAACACACACACACACACACATACTTGTTTTTGTGTTTTGTGTTTTTGTGTTTTGTGTTTTCAAAGCCAGTTATTTTTCATGGATCAGTATTTTTAGGACTAGGATATTTGGTTAGTATATTTTGGTTTTGTTTTATATTCTTTTATATTAATTTTTTAATTTTTACTTTATACATATTTTTTCTCACTTATATGTTTCCCTCAATTGTATTTTTCTCTTCTGCTAATAGCCAATCTCTGTTGTTCTCTCTTTTATTCTTCCTTTAATTTTTTACTTCTATTCTCTCTCCTCCTCCCTCATAATCATTACTTCCTACATCATTTTTGTTCTCTTCTTGTCCATTCAAAATCCTAAACCTATTTGCAAACTTACTGTTTTTACTGTGGGCAATAACTGATCATATAATTTCTGTTTATTTTGACAATTAGAATTAAAGATGTCACAGCATGAAATATTTGATGTACTGCTGTGTATTGTTTGCATTGGTTGTTGTTATTATTTGTCTCCCCCTAAACAGTGAGGTTTTAGAAACTTTCAGGGACACTTTAAGTCCACAGGGTAAAAACTCTACTGCCTCAGATCCATACTGTTAGATGGATGGGCACACAAATAAGATGAAAAAGCAAGGGAATAAATCAATCCAAACAAACCAAGATACTTCAATAATAGAACCCATGTATACCACAATGGAAGAAATGTCAGAGAAGGAGTTTAGAATGTTCAGAGTTAAATTGATCTGTGAGGTAAAGGATGATATAGAGTGAAATCAGAGAGAAAATACACAAAGTGACAAATCACTTCAATAAAGAGATAGAGGTTCTGAAAAGTAAAATCAAGCAGAAATCCTGGAAATGAAGGAATCAATAAACCAAATTAAAAATTCAATGAAAAGGATCACCAGCAGACTATACCACTTGAAAAACAAAGTTTTTAGGCAATAAAGACAAGATATATATTTTAAAAATGAACTTGACCATGGCAAAAATTTGTTAAGAGATCATGAGTAGAAATTCTAAGCAATATGGGATTATATAAAAAGACCAAATATAGGATTTGTTGGGACAGATGAAGGCTCAGAGATACAAATCAAAGGAATGCAGAATCTTTTCAATGAAATAATATCAGAAAATTTCCCAAATCTAAAGAATGAAATGGAAAATTCTATACAAGAGACTTACAGGACCCCCAATGTACAAAATTACAACAGACCCACATCAAGCCACATTATAATGAAAATGCCTAGTATACAGAACAAAGACAGAATTTTCAAATCTGTGAGAGAAAAGTATTAGATTACAAGGGGAAATCAATTCAGATCTCAGTTGATTTCTCAACCCAGACCCTCAAAACTAGGAGGTCCTGGAATAACATATACCAAGCTCTGAAAGAAAATGGATGCCAACCCAGAATCCTATATCCAGCAAAATTAAGCTTCAGATTTGATGATGAAATAAAAATCTTCCATGATAAACAAAAGTTAAAAGAATTCACAACAGAAAGCCTGCACTACAGAATATTTTCAACAAAATATTCCATGAAGATGAAGTTTAAAAAAAAAAAAGTGAAAACCAGCAAAGGGAGGAACTGCACTAAAGGAACAGTCAATCAAAGGAGAAACCAATTCAAATTAAAAATTAGATATAAACCAAAATGGGAATACAAATCATATCGCAATAATTACCTTGAATGTTAACAGCCTAAACTCATCAATCAAATGACACAGACTGGTATACTGGATTAAAAACAAGACCCAACAATATGCTATCTCAAAGAGATTCACCTCATAGTCAAAGACATCCACAGACAGAAGATGAAAGGATGGGAGAAAACATATAACTCACATGGATTATGTAAGCAAGCAGGAATTTCTTCCTCATATCAGATAAAGTAGACTTCAAGCCAAAGTTAATCAGAAGGGACAAAGAAGGTCATTTTGTATTGCTTAAGGGAATTATACATCAACAAGACAAAAACAATCATAAATATTTATTCCCCAAACAGTGAAGCATCTATGTACATCAGACAAGCCCTTCTCATTTTTAAGAACCAAACAGGCCACAACACAACAATACTGGGTGACTTTAACACATGTCTCTCACTATTGAATAGATCCTCAAAACAAATAAACAAACAAAAAAAAACCTATAGAAATAAATCATACAATCAATAATTTAGACTTAACAGACATAAATAGAATATTTCATCCATCAATGAGCAAATATACTTTCTTCTCAGCAGCACATGGGTCCTTCTCTAAAATAGATCATATCTTATGCCACAAACCAACTCTTAGCAAATACAAAAAAACCAGATATTAGATATTAAACCATATAGATATAGATATTACTCTGCATTCTATCAGATCATAATGGAATGAATTTAGAAATCAATGATAGAATAAAATGTAGAAGGTACTCTAACACCTGGAGACTAAATAATACTCTATTGAATAATGAATGATGTTAAGAAACCATGAACAGAACTTCCAAGAATTATGGGATAACATAAAAAGACCAAATTTGAGATATATAAGGACAGATGAAGGCATAGAGAGAGAGAGAGACCAAAGTAATACACAATATTTTCAATGAAATAAAATCAGGAAATTTCCCAAATCTAAAGAATGAGATGGAAAATCAAATACAGGAGGCTTACAGGATCCCAAATATACAAAACTATAACAGACCCACACCAAGACACATTATTATAAAAATGCCTCCCTTACAGAATAAGATAGAATTTTAAAGGCTGCCAGAGAAAAACAACAAATCACATTTTATAGAAACCAATCCAGATCTCAACAGATTTCTCAAACCAAACCCAAAAAGCTAGGAGGTATTGGAATAATATAAACCAAACTCTGAAAGAAAATGGATGCCATCCAAGAATACTGTGTTCAGCAAAATTAAGCTTCAGAATTGACAACGAACTAAAACCCTTCCATA